CTAATTATTCAGAAATCGTGAGATGCGGTCTGGTGTGATGTAGGTTTCAGAAAAACATTTTCTTTATCGTGCCAACGTTTCGATCTTTATTGAGATCATCTTCAGGGCCTGGGATTTACAAACATTGTTTAAATTTAACAAATACATGTAGGATGTGGAATAAAGTTAATTTATATAATGCAAAATATATTTTTTATATTCAATCAAAGTTTAATAAAAAATAATGCTCTTTGTACATATATAATAAGACTAGAGTGCAAGATTGAGGTGAACAGCAAATGAAATAAATTGTAATAAACTTTACCTGTATGAAAAATAAAAGCATTTCTACACGAGAAGAACGAAGAACATGGGATTCTATGAACAAATTTCAACTACATGTGGACACGAAGCTAAAAGTTATTGGTGGATCCTTTAAGGAATGAGCAAATTCCGTCTTTTAAGGTATGATTAGCCCCCTTGAGACCGGTGATCTGCCTCAAAATCAAAAGAATTTTGATTTGAAATAAAATATGAACACAATTGCAGAGGGACACCTCTATTTTGTTTCTTTTAAAACAAAAATATATTTCCTTATAAATCAAAAACGTTATATAAAAAAATAAAACAACAAAACATGAACCTTTGCTTACAAACTAACAATATAAGAATAATTAGATACTATGGGAATAATATGGGCCTGAGGGGCAAAATTAAAATAATCAACCTTGATAACCAAAATGGAAAATACCAAACAAAAACCATAAATGAAAATGGGCCACACAACAGAAATAACTTATATTAATAAAAATCAAAGTGGATACAAATCTGATTTGACTGGCTTTCAGCTGGAATTTTTTTCTTTTTGTTTTTCTTCCAATGCCTAGGCTAGACTGAACTATCCGTTCTCGCTTTCCTGCCTCTAGCATGGAGGGGAGTGCCTGGACATAATTTGTTGTTATAATATATTCTGAAAGACATCGCCATCAATGAGAAGAAACTCACATCGGCTACCAGAGAACTTTTTTGTTGAAATGCAGACAAACACAAGGTTCTGAAGATGTTCTCAATAAAGCTCGAAACGTTGGCACGATAAAGAAAATGATTTTCTGAAACGTACACTACACCAGGCCGCATCTCACGATTTCTGAATAATTATCGATTAACGATCACTAAACACCACACATTGTAGGATATGTTTTTTCACAGATTGCACAGAACTATTGAAGAAGTCAAGTTAGGAGTTGACTAAGTTGAGAGATAAAAGTGAAAACAAATCAAAAGAAAATTTCCCTTAATTCTGCCTATAATTATTCATTTTATGTAGATACATACAATATATTTACAGTTTTTTTCCTTGAAAAGTTCTCACCAATTGAACTGCTGATACCTACATTGCCAGGCATCGCGAGCGTAAAGCGCTTAAATGCAAGGGCTTTACAATTCCTTATTTCGTTGGAGGTCTGGAGAAAGTTAACGCGGGAAAGGCTAGAAACACCCAGTACAAAATTGAGGTATATTTGCTCCCCAAGCATAACACAAGATGGAACGACAAACGCGCTGTTAAAAACTTTGAACTTTGCTGAAAGCTGTACCACGACCTGGGCGAACAGATCAGCTCTATTTACCTCAAGCTTAGCAAGTGTTGCTTTCGGTTGTAGATGATGACAAAATCTCACCCCTACGTATTTGTAGTTATTTACATCTATCTTGAGACCCAATATTACAAAACAGATTTCTTGCTTATATATGTGAAAAAAACCTAAAAGGTAGAATTCAGCTAGTGCACAAAACCAAAATTTTGGCCAAAATGAATTACCAGATAAACCATACAACGAAGTGCAAATAGGGAAAGTTTTAAATTCTGGTTACAAGTGATTTTTGTATAAAGTACAGCCGAAAACATTCTCCTTTTTTCCTTCCTTCAAATAAAAAAAATCACTAAGAAAGAAGCTTTGTTCTTATCAGTTTCAGTATCTATTGCCCTCGACTAAGTTCTTGTAAAAAAAAAAAAAAGCTTAAGTTCAATCTAAACATAGTTGGCTACTCTGCCGAATAAACAAATACAGAAAGTCAAAGGAAAAAAGACCAATTAAGCCGTTTTTGTTTCTTGGATTTGTGAAAGAAAGTGTGTTTGACTCATTAATTGAAGGAAAACTCAGAAAATTCTTTCCACTGTTTTTCAGTGTCTGCTTTATTTATCTGTTCCACCCAATTAAATAGTAGAAATAATAATAAATTGTCATATTATCATAGACAATTTGTGTTGGAAAAATTGTTGAAATTGGGTTACTTATCTATTATATTGACAAGATTTTACCATATTTTTTTTCTTAATCAAATATATATTGAAAAATCATTCTTTCTTTAGTTCCAAACAATTCTAATGCTATTTATAATATACTAATTAACACAGTTACTTAATGCTTTCTTCTTTTTTTAAATCAAAATTATGCAATAAAAATTTGGTTACATTTTTTGTTAATAAAAAATTGAATGAATGCAAAACAACTACAAATTTCCATTATTGGTGTGTATTATCCGTAAAGATTAATCGGTTCAACATCAACTGATTAATATCGCAGTGAAGATTACTCATAGTTTAGATTAAGGTAAACATAGTGTGTAATTGGCCAGTTAAATAGGCAAAACTGTGTAACGTGTGATGTTTGCTCATTTCTCTATTTGTCAACCCCACGTATTTCAATTATTGGATTTCAGAGAGATCTCATTTCTCGGGATATTCCTCGACTCGGATCGGTCGAAACAATTCCTATTGGGGGTGAACAGAGGGATGGGTGGGACGATTGGTATACCATTGAAAGCCTGGCTTTTAGATTTTATCTATGATATAAATTCTTTTTGGTTTTAGTCATATAAAAACAAAATATTGACATAAGGGATAAATTTCTTTTTTTCTAATCCACACTTAAATAGTATTTAACAATTAACTCAATTCTTTTATCAACTGTACAAAGGTGAAAATTTGAGAACTATAGCTTTTTCCCGCCAAATTAATCCTTTTTAACTTCAAATTAACCTTTTTTTAGTGCCGGCAACTACACTGGTCATCGCCAGCCCTAGATCCATTAGCTTTACATTTTTTTTCTTATCTTTCTCACGATTTAATCCTACTTTTTTTCTGTTTCATCTGCTAAGTTATGATATTTTATGGTACAACGGTAACCAACTCTCTGTTTTCTTTATCCTGTCCCCTCTGTACCTCAGGCCCTTGTCAATTGTGGATAAATTAGGACAAATAAGAAACACAAATACACAGAAATAAGATAAAAACATGAAAGTCTGGTTAACATTCACGCAATAAGCTACCATTCACGCTAATAAATTACATTCCCACTTCACCAGAGTACTCGATATTCCTCGGGGTAATTGGGAAGAAGCTACCATTCGCGCTAATAAATTACATTCACGCTATACCAGAGTACTCGACATTCTTCGGGGTAATTGGGAAGAAGCTACCATTCGCGCTAATAAATTACATTCACGCTATACCAGAGTACTCGACATTCTTCGGGGTAATTGGGAATAAGCTACCATTCACGCTAATAAATTACATTCACACTACCCCAGTGTACTCGATATTCCTCGATTCACGCAAATAAATACATTCGTTCCTTTTTCTAATTTAAAATTAACTCTTTCTTTAAAGCAGTAAAAAACTTAAGCGATGACAAATATAAGTATGTAAAGTAAAATTCTTATATAATGAGAATTTTTTAAATATAAAATAAAAACCATATGAAATTAAATAAAATATTCTTTTTTTAATTTGAATTTTTATAAAATATAAAATGGGTTCTTATATAAAATAACAGATGAAAACTAACTACAATTAAAATTAAAGTTTAAAATTAATCAAATGTAACATTTTTATATATTATTCTAAAAACATTCCATTTTCTTTCAGCAGTGTTTTTTTTTAGATTTGAAATAATCACCATGGCCTTTGTAAATTAAAGTTTAAAATTAAGTACAAATGATTCTTTGATTAATTCAACATTTTGTAAATATTGAATTATTTTTCATAAGATATTTTATATAAGAGATCAATATTTATAATTTAAAAATCTCGGTTAATAAATAGAAGAATCTTTTCTTTTTAGATTTTATTGTACATAACTTTTAATTTTCATATGAATTAATGAAAATATTGCTTTTTTCAGTTTTTTTCAGGTTTTCAGAAGGTTTTGTACCTTGAAAATTGCCCATAAAAGTTAGTCCGGTTGCAATGTTTTGAAAATTTAACGTTGTTTTCTTGGTTAAATTACCCACCAATCACTTGTTTCTTATAAAATCACGGTCATTAACCGTGTATATTTAAAAAAAAGGTTATTTTGAAATTAAAAAAGATTAATTTGAGATTAAAAAAGGTTAATTTAAAATTTTTAAAAATTAATTTACATTGAAAATGGTTAATGGTAAAAACTGTGATATTTAGTTTTTTAAAACAAACTATCATACTAGGGATTTGAGAAACCTTGTAATAAAACATGTCTAACATTTTTTTTGCCTTACTTAGCATTAAACTCAGGACGAAGTTGATGGTCACATGAACTTGCAGACCTTCCTGCTGAATAATCATGAAGATCTCTTCGTCTTTTTTTCATTTATCACGAAAATTGCGAACTCTAATTTTATTAATTACCGAAACATTCTGTTATACATTAAAACCGGAGATCACACGACATCTACAAAACTTTCTCACAGACAACGTTTGTTGGGTTCAAAAAGAACCAAGAATAAGCAGATTGTAGGTGATCCCGAGTGGGACTTCTTCATTTGACCTATTCTATTTTTATAGTTTATGTTGCAATTTTATTCGGATCTAAAAACTCTAGTGTTTTGACAGTTGGCGAGGTTGGTGCAGGATTGGTGTCAATAGTAGCCCTGAACGTTATTTCATTTCCCAGAACCAAAATCTGTGAAGTGTTCAAATAATCAGCATATGAGTTCTTTTGTCCAATGGTTGTTTAAAAAATCAATATTTGTTTTGATTCCAGCCGTACAACACGAAAGAGGTCCCAGGAAGCCAAAACAATCTAAGGATGGGGAAAGTCCTGTAAGACAAGTGTCAGGAAACAACGGAGTCTGCCTGGAATCCTCCCAGCATTCTCCGTTGAAGCTGACATCCCCTGCGTACCAGCAGGCCCCGATGCAGCAAGCCGACAGCCCGGAAAGAAGGCCGCAACCTCTGTTCGTGTCCCACCAGCCTCCGGGACTCCTCCAGCTCCTCATGTCCGCCGAGAAGTGCCAGGTAACCCCTTGTCAAACAACGTGATGAATGGTAAAAATTGCATCGGGAAAAACAGATGTGTCCAACGACGCGATGAGCAGGGGGGAATCGAATTGAGATGAAGAGGGAGTCAGACAATGAATACGTGAGAACGAGTCAGGTGGTTTACTGGTTCAGCAGCTGGGGACCACGTGGTCACGTCATCATCATCCCTGACTCAACATATCTGACGTCACCCAATTCAATTTTAATCACCAAGCTTACTTAACTTTCTGTTTTAATCTGACACGGATCCTCACTTTCTTAGCGTTATCTTGTCAGTATTTCCCTTTATAATCTTATTTTAAACTATTATCTCGAGTTTACATGATTGAAACTCGGGATTGCGTTCAACAGCTTATGTGCACATTTATGCAGTCCTAAAAAGTTATCATGTCATCAGAAAATCTTTTAAACCTCATCATCCCCACAAAAAAAAGCGCGGTACAAGTTTTTCAATAATAAATATTAACGACATTAGCTTTATCAATTTACAAAAAAAGACTTAAGTTTTTATGTGAATTGAATTAATAATTTTTTAATACATCTTTAATCTCGTATTATGCATTCGCCAGGAAATTGTTTGGAATGGAAAATTGGACGTGATCAACGGTGGGAACTCAGGTCCTGGAAGCCCCTCTGCAACGGCCATCCCTCTCTCGCTAAGTCCAAGTTGGGAAGTCTTACAGGTAAATGGATTTTTGTAAAATTTAGTCAATAGTTAGCTCAGGTTGGCGGCTGAACCGAAGATTCTAGTCATAATGTCCATATTGGTTTTAGTATGGAGTTGACAAGTAGTCTTGTTTTGGCAGTAATAAGTTGAACAGTTTCTTTAGTCATTTGAGGAATTTGTATCGTATTCTTCTTGTCGTTTAAGGCCGAGTGTGCGGATTCAACGACAGTAGTTTGTCTATGAACATTCTTTTTCCGCCGAAGGACGTTTCAATCTTTCACTCTTGCACCAAGAATCAAACTTTGTGAGATGCTGCAGGTTTCGACATGGAAGAACGAGATGTTACCGTGAGATAAGAACGGAATGTCGGCTAAGGAACAAAGTTATGATAATAGACGGAGAAGGAATAGCCTGAAGGCTCGGAAAAACCGGTCAGTATGGTAAGTGTGAAGTATGAAATGGTCGAGGGAAGGATCTTCATCATGAAATGCAAGCCCGGGTGCCAAACTCGATCAAAAATCTCACGTCAACAAAGGACCGAGAGCAGTACCGACCAAATTAAAAGGAGGAAAAGATGTCTTCGACACGATGTCACGTGCCAATTGCGCAGGCATTAGCCAGGAATTATGTATTATGACTTGAAAACTTAGAATGGAATTCTTTTTAATAGGAAATTTTTAGAAAGATTTTTCCAAAAACGGGTAGTAGACGACTTACGGGTAACAGACTTCGGTCCGTGGGTTAATTATGGTATTGGGTTTGGGAAACCTGCAAGCAAGACGTTGTATAATAAAATACCAGACGAATTTAAGAGCAATATATATAGAGGTCCTTCAAAAGTATTCCTTTTATTGTTTACTTGTTACTCTTTCCTCACGTTTTCCTTATCGTATTACGTCATATTTTTAACATAATTACAAGGAACGTGTGTGGTGAGTAGTGACCGTTAGTCGATAATTATTCAGAAATCGGGAGATGCGGTCTGGTGTGAAGTAGGTTTCAGAAAAAAATTTTCTTTATCGTGCCAACGTTTCGATCTTTATTGAGATCATCTTCAGGGCCTTGGATTTACAAACATTGTTTAAACTTAACAAATGCATGCAGGATGTACTTTTTTCCACATCCTACATGTATTTAAATTCAATACTGTAAGAAATTAATTATAAATTAGTGATTAAAGATAAAAGATAAAAATTATAATAATACCTTAATATTATTAAATTATTATAAAAATAATAACAATTAAAATAATTAATTTAATTAAGGACATCAAATACAAGAATCTTACCAAATAAATACAATTAGGCACAAATCCATATTCAATTTAACTAAGTTAACTTTAATTAATTCCCCAAGTCTTATTTTACGTTCATTTTTTACTAAAATTGAAGCAGGTAGCCCTAAAATAGGAATTCTTCTGGGAGTATCTATAGCACCAACTTTTATTCTAATTTCAATTAACTATTCTTTGTATGTAAGGTCTTGGTTGAAATGAAAAAGTGACTGTCACGAGCGGGATTCGAACCCACGACCTTCGGCTCAGTACGCCGCTCTAACCGCTTGACCTATCGTGACTTCGATCCATTCGGACACCAACTCCCCATCTCAACCTACAACCTTTCGAAGTCACCATAGCTCAAGTGGTTAGAGAACGGCGTATTGAGCCGAAAGTCGTGGGTTCGAGTCCCACCCATGACATTTACGCAGAAAACAAACACTTTGAGTGACTAGAAATACTTTGATTGGATATAAAAAATATATTTTTTTGCATTGTATAAATTCACTTTTTTCCACATCCTACATTTATTATTGTATTTGTTAAATTTAAACAATGTTTGTAAATCCCAGGCCCTGAAGATGATCTCAATAAAGATCGAAACGTTGGCACGATAAAGAAAATGCTTTTCTGAAATCTACATCACACCAGACCGCATCTCACGATTTCTGAATAATTACAAGGAACGTTAACTAATTTAATTTTTATGGCAAAAAATTACATTATTTTTATATAATTGAACCAAAAATCGTTAACAAAAAAGCTGAGATTGGTCGAAAGCGTAACACCTCAATCAAGATTTTTCTCAAATAGACCGGCTTAAATTTAAAAAAATATTAGTTTCAAGTAAATTCATCAACATACACAGTTCAGAATATTATAAAACATGTACTGCAGTATATATAAACGATTTACGTTTTAGTGGTCAATTGACCAAGTTACTTTTTTCAATTAATTATTCTTTCTATGTAAGGTCTTGGTTGAGATAAAAAAAAATAGTGCAACGCACGAACTTCGGCTAAATACGCGGGAATATATATTCAAATGGGCCGAAATCTGGCCGGGAAAATTTCGTTACTTATTGACCACACAAAGCGGATAATTATAAAACAAATCAATCCCATGTTAAGCGCCCTCAAAATTGCCATAAAAACGTGAATGACATCATAAAATAGTCGTCAGTGCCGAAACCGTGTGATGATAGCGAGAGAGCGCGATTACCATCGAAGGGTAGTGAGAAAAATACATTTTTAAAATAAATTAAACGCCTTGACTTTTCCAAAAGCGGCATAGATAGCCGCATAACGGCTTCTGAAACGAAGTCCTTTTCTGAAAGTAAATTTAATATTTTTAACACAGGTGGATCAACTACGATTAAAATTATTTAATTCTAAACACAACATATAATTGGGTTATGACAACAAATGAAGGTTCGACAATATATTAAAAATAGTGATCTTCTGTTATTATTGTGAAATTGTCCGGGTTACAAAGGTTTACTTTTCGAAAAATTATATAAAAATAATGTTTTCGTTCTTTTATCATAACATTGCTCTTTTCCGTTCTTTGTAACTATACTGAACAAATTGAGACAAAATAGCATTAAGTTATGAAAATACACGAGAATACTGTAGAAACAAGATTTACAAATATTTTTGGGAGACGCTGTTTGTGAAAAGGCATTTTTTAAGATTAAGTAGATACTTAAAATCCCGAACTAGGTTTTTATTAACTGATAAATGAATACTATTTACAAAAAACTTTAATGATTGCAATTACTAACTTAGAAATATGACAAAATATTGTCGCAAAAGAAATTATTTCATTTTTAACCTTTTTACATATTTGTCACTATTGTGTGGTGATTAGTGACCGTCAGTCGATAATTATTCAGAAATCGTGAGATGCGGTCTGGTGTGATGTAGGTTTCACAAAAACATTTTCTTTATCGAGCCAACGTTTCGAACTTTATTGAGATCATCTTCAGGGCCTGGGATTTACAAACATTGTTCAAATTTTAAATATATTTTTTGCATTGTATAAATTCACTTTTTCCACATCCTACATGTATTTGTTAAATTTAAACAATGTTTGTAAATCCCAGGCCCTGAAGATGATCTCAATAAAGATCGAAACGTTGGCATGATAAAGAAAATGTTTTTCTGAAACCTACATCACACCAGACCGCATCTCACGATTTTTGAATAATTTATAATCCAAAAATATATAAATGTATCGCAGTACATTTTCCCAAAAAATCGACGCGACGTTGAATACACCGAGGTAGAACAGCGGCCATAGCTGAGAAAGAAGCGCGCATGACACTTGACTTTTCGGCTTCCGGTTGTGTCATTGGCTTGAACCGGGTCGGCCCACTTTTACCCTCCTTCCAACCCCTTCTTCGCAAACTTCAACCAACTTAAGAAACATGGGGAAAAAGTAATTTTCACGGACTTCTCTTATGTGTTGTCCATACAGACGGTCTTGGTATGCTACGTCTATATGGTTAAGTATTTCGGGCGCGTTTTGCCTTTACGCCATCTACGGTCGGTCTATAATTTCTATAAAATAATATAAAAATAAAGTTTAATGGTTTATTCGCTTTATAATGTTGGCGTAGCTACGGTTCATGTATCTTCTGTAAGCCGAGGAACACCCTTTAATTAAGTGGGACAAGAAGAACAACTTTTCTCTGCGTGCCGGACACATATGTGGTCTTTGGCACAAAATTAACTGTCCGCGTGTCAACTTCGCATGGCCTATCCTTAATCGGGTTAGGTTGATTCTTCTACGATTCAGCTTCTCCAAGGGCCATCTCTCGACAATGCGCTTGATACGCGAGAGCTTTGTGGATCCGGCCTGTAAGCAGATACCACAAATTTTTCATTTCGTGTTATTTGCCTTCAAGACTGCTCTCTCAGCGAGTGATCGGTTTTTTCCATGAGCACGTAAAAAAACATATTTCTGCCCAAAAATCGCGAATAACTTGAAAACGGCGAGAAATCAGGCAAAGTGAAAGGTGGCCAATTGAAAACTTATTAAAATTTCATATGGAATGGACGATTTTTGTCTCCACAGCTCGATTTGAAGTTTTCGAAAAAGTGCAAAAGTTAACATGTTATCGAATTTTTGAATTTACTGATGAATGATTGATGCTAGGGAAACGATTTAAAAAAGCCGTCTTGTTCAGCGTAAAATTTTCAAAAAAAAAAAATGAGACCTAGAGCAAGTCTATGTCGCAAGTCTCAAAAGGCTGAGAAAATCTGTATTTTCATTTTTTTTTTTTAATTTAATACAAATAAATATCAATACAATAAACTAAATGGTCTTTAGAGTAATAATAATGATATTTTATTTAACAATTAATTAAGGTTTTTAGTTAAAATAAAAAAATCAGTGTCACGAGCGGGATTCGAACCCACGATCTTCGGCTAAATACGCCGCTGCTCTACCGCTTGAGCTATCGTGACGTCGACGTTTTGCCATTTTTCCTTTTTTAATTAATTGAAAGATATTAATTGGTCAAGCGGACCAAGAAAATAGTGATTTTTATTTAACTCTAAATTTGTTGAATTCGGGAGGAGCGGTCAGGAATGAAGTATTTTAGATAAACACTTTTTTCATTTTTTTACCGATGTTTCGACCTTTATTCGGTCATCTTCAGAACCTGGGTAAATTACAAAACATATGTTGATTGAAAAAAATGCACAACACAAATGAATAATATAAATTTTGAACCAAGTCGTACTCGCATAAAGTGTGGTGCAAAAACAGCAGGATATAAATTCACGTTTCACAATTTCACAGGAAAAAAATATGACACAACAATAGCACTACACTTTATATGTGTATGAAATACTAAAACGATTTTAGGTTTAAATGTTAATATACTGAACAAATTCATTAATAAAAATTACAAACAAATACAAGTTCAAAAAGATTTTTTACAAAAAGGGCCCGAAAAACATTTTTAGAATTCCTTTTTTTTAAATATCCATTTTAGTAGTGTAATTTCTTATTTAATTACTTTTTTCAAAGGTGAAGAAATTAATGGAGGAAAAAAACCGTTGCCGACAGATTGGTAAGGTCGAAAATTAAAAAAAAAACTTAAGGAAATTTTGAATGAATTTATTAAACGTTTTTTTAATTTTGGTTAGAAACCGAAATAATGCAAGTGTTTACTTATTTACCAACACGACTGCAACTTTGATTAAAGGATTATTGTATTGTAGCAAATTTCAGAAACCGTACTCCATTTAATATCAATTTTAGTAGTGTAATTTATTTTTTAATTACTTTTTTCAATGGTGAAGAAATTAATGGAGGAAAGGAAAAAAACCGTAGCCGACAGATTAGTAAGGTCGAAAATTTAAAAAAACTTAAGGAAATGTTGAATGAATTTATTAAACTTTTTTTTAATTTGGGTTCGAAACCGAAATAGAAAATAGTTCGTTTTTTTTTGCCGCTGGATTCGAACCCGGGACCTTTATCTTACAGTGATGAGCGCCGTGTCAATGCCTAAACCGTTGCGGCCACCGACGCCCCTAATTCCTTAATTGCTGATTATGTTCAGGTTTGTTGTGAAGAATGAGTATTTTTTATTATAATTATTTTTTTTTAGTATTTATTTTCAGACAAATTATGTTATTAGGTCAAATTTCAGCCGATACAAGAAGAAAAATGTTATATTATTTTCTAATTATTTTAATATTTTCTATAAATTCAATAATCAACAAAAATAATTAGCAACTCTTTTTACAAAAAAAAAAGCATTAGGATCGTGAACAATAAACTATCAGAAATAAAAACTCTAAAAAAACGAAAAATTATTCAAAAATAAATTAAAAGAAATACTAATTTCCAAATATGTATAATCATCTCCTGTCCTTGTCAATCTATATAAGTTTTATATTAAATCTACATATAAATTTTACATTATATTTACAAAAATCTTAGTTTATTATTTTGGTTTTGGTACTCCTTGATATATACGTTCACTAATTCACATATTAAATGGTTATTATTTGATTATATATTTTTCACTTTTTTTTCATTTTCTTTTATGTATTTACTTTAAGTTTTTATGCTTATTCGCTTTTTCTTTTTTTTAAATGTAATTTATTGTAAGTTGAAATCTTGCATTGTTTGTAACACAATTAAGTTAGGGACACAATTAAAAAGAATTGACCTTCGGGAAAAGGTCGTGGGTTCGAATCCTGCTCGTGACACTAACTTTTTCATTTTCAACCAAAACCTTACTTAAAAAGATTAATTAATTCTAAAAATATGTACATTCCATAATAATTTTGTTTGTTTATTTATTTTAATCGTGTATTTATTTATTTTTGTAAAACCAAACTTATTGATTGTAAGAAAGATCATTATGACCTAAATCTGTGAGTATTATAAATAAAGTGTTTCAATTCAATTCGATCACAAGTAATATTTGGGTTTTCACCCCTTTTGCAACCCTTTCACTACCTTTCCTTCAGAATCATTCCATTCTATTAATATATTTATTAGTTTATACATTTGTTTTAAACAAAACTGCCTTCTTGCAAGGTAAAACATTTTTCAATATATGTTTTACAGTACATATTTTTATTTTTAACAACAGACGAAAACATTTCAGTATTTTTATATGGTTATCTTATAGAAATACTTTTCTAAACAGGGTTCAATTTGTTCTCAGGAAACAACAGCCAGATTACTTTTCATGGCAGTTAGATGGGTGCGATGTTTGGCACCTTTTCAGACACTTTCAAAACGAGATCAAGTAAGTTTTTATATACAAACATTTATTGAGTTTAATAAAAACAAAAGTCATACATTATAACATTATCATAAAATTTGTTCAATGTGTTTTTTCATATTCTAAATAAAAAGTTTGGTTTGTTAATTTTTCCAGACACTTTATCTTCATATTTCTTAGTTAATTATCCGTTAATTATTTTTAGAAATGCATGATGCTTGATTTTTTAATGGGATTCTAATTGTTATTTCATAAATCTTTTATTTACTTAGCCCAACTTTTATTGATAATCTCAGTTGTAAAGTGTTTTTCTCCTACAGTTTCTGCTTGCAGTCAATCTTACATCGATGTGCATTTATTTGCAGCTTCTATTGCTTCAAGAATCTTGGAAGGAGCTTTTCCTTCTGCATTTGGCCCAGTGGTCTATCCCATGGGACTTGAGCCCAGTTCTCGGAGGTCCCAAAGCAAGGGAAAGGCTTCCGTTGGACGATACGTTGGTTCCGAATGAACTGAACGCCATCCAGGAGATCCTGGCTAGGTTCAGGCAGCTGTCTCCGGATGGCAGTGAATGCGGTTGCATGAAAGCTGTAATCCTTTTTACACCGGGTAACAAACAATCTGACTCTTGGCCCAATTGAAACTAAAAGAATTGTTTTATTTTTCCAGAAACGCCTGGACTCGTCGACGTCCAACCAGTCGAGATGTTGCAAGATCAAGCTCAGTGTATTCTCAACGACTACGTTAGAGGAAGATATGCAAGACAGCCGACCAGATTCGGTAGGCTTCTTCTGATGATACCGGGTCTCAAAGTCATCAGGCAATCCACGATAGAAAGACTGTTCTTCAGAGAAACCATAGGCGACATTCCTATCCATCGTCTGTTAGGTGATATGTATGTGATGGAGAAATCCTACTCATAAAATTCAACTGGAACAAAATCCACAAAAAAAATTATTATATAACAAACCAAAATTTCTAGTGTCTTTTTTTCTTTATGTAAGAAAAAGTAAAACTCTTTTGTAAACATAACATCCCATAATAATGTTTGAACATTTCCTTATTTAAACAATGATTAATGAAAAACATCTTTACCAAATTGTATACACTGTTATTACCTTCAAGTTGAAAAGTTTTGTCAATACTCCTTTCAAAAAACCAACTCATTTTTTCCAAATTTTCCCATAATTTAATCATCCTGACCCATTAATTCTTGAATAATATTATTCAAAACTTCCAGGGATGTTTACATTAAAGCAGGTCCTGAAGATTCAGAGACGATCAAACTGCAGATGAATGTTAAACGACTTGCAGAGAAATTAACACTGGATTAAATATGATTTAATATGTCACAATTGTTTAACAAATGAACTCTACTTGCTATTTAATAAAATTCTATACAAGCATAGAATTAATTAAATGATTGATACTTTCATACTCTCGCCTTTTCTATATAATAATAAAACTAGATCCAACATTAGCACACGACATGTGTCTGAAACAGAAAGGAATGTTGAAGATAAGAATTAAGGACTGTTTTGAACTGTATACAAAAAAAAGCATAGTGGGTAGCATTTATTATAAAAAGATTCATTTAAAATAATTTACTTTTAAATCCATTTTATGTATATACTTCACCAATATAGAAATATTTATGAAAAAGTAGTCAAGAATATGTAATAAAACAACGCTAAATTTTTTTATTTTAATTTTTAAAACCACCCTTTAAGCCAACAAATATCGAACCAAAATTTCAACATAGAAAATTGTTTAGAAAAGACACTTTTAAATTGTATTTCTTTATCTATTCAATTTTGTCTATTAGGTACTAGTTTTGTGATGTTTAGATAGTTTTTAATATATAATGTTTTATATTATAAAAAGTCTTTAGTTAGTTAAACTTAGAAAAAACTATCTATGTTTTTGTGGGATGATGTAAAAAAAAACTTTACCAAATTATTCATGTATCAATTCTAGCAAGAGCGTAAGTACATTTACCATATTAAATTTACATTCTGACAACTGTTCGATGTTTCCGAAACACTTTGAAATAGAAATATTGTAAATGTGCAGGGTGTAATCTATTAAAATATGTACATTATAGAAATGTCCTTTTTCTGTGTTTAGATTTTTGAATATGAAACTTTTTTTAATGTCGGTGCTACTTAGAAGCAAGATGATTTACTTTTAATTAAGATATATACAAGTCTATGCTGTTTATATATTTAAAAATTAATTTTGTAAATAAACGTCTTGCGATTTGATTAGAATCTAAAAATTATGCACAATACAATCTACAAAATATAATTAAACTAGAGGAAAATGTAGGCTAGTTTAAATCAGTACAGTATACAATTTAACAGGAACAAATTGATTTTATTATAATGAATAGTTGATTATTTGTCTGGAGGGATTTTTTTTCTGCTTAAAATATAAGCCTTCTGCATATAGATACACATTCTATTACTGTAACAAAACTAATAAATGTACTTAAAAAATATTTAATCCCAAGTAGGAAATGGTAGTTTAAACAAGGCTTTGAATGTCATTTAAATTATTAATTATTCTTAAAACAAGTTACAGTATGTACGTATTTTATACACATATAAATTTAAGATATAGTCTGTGATATTTATAAGGTGAATTCCATGTGCCAAATATGTAAATAAAATTTTGCGTTTTATATAATTGTAATTTCTTTGTGCTTTTGCAAATTTAAACATATTTAAACAATGTTCTGAAAATTTGCTGTTTGCACAAATCAAAAATTCTACATATCTTCCCAATGTATTCTAATGTAAAATATGATAATGACTATTAGTCTATAAAAATATAAATGTAATATTGTAGTTTTGGTTTATTTGTTTACTTCCCTTTTTATTAGAACTTATAGATAACTTAACTGACAGCTAATTATTAATTATTTACATCATATGTATATAATAATTTTTCCTGCTGGCTAACAGCTTTAACTACAACTTTAAGTTCATTCCTTAAGTTTGGTTTCGTATCACAGTTTTAATTTTGTTTTCAAAAAATTAATATTCGGACATATCTTATTTCCTTCTCTCATTATTCTATTTATTGGTGAATAAAATATGTTATTTGTTTTAAGCAGAAAACATTTTCAAAATATTGTAGTTATGTATCGAGAGATTTCTTGTTGGCTTGGTTCAATATGTAGTAATTTTTTTCACAATTTAGAAAGTTGCCAAAATAAACTTTCAGAATGGTTTACCAATACACCAGAATCATGTATTTGTACAATGATTATCTCTAGTGTTTACAAATATGTACTAAAGAATGTACACCGCTCCGTTTTAACAAATCTTTTTACTTTTACTAGTTTCCCATTAACACAACTGTAATCAGGTAGATGTCATCTACACAGATTTTGCATTTGATCGACCAGTTATTGTTAAAACTTGAATCTGTTGGTATTTCAGGACAATTTTCATCCTGGATTTCTAATTATCTAATTGTTGGGGGGGGGCCTTTCTTCACTCTCATTTAATATTTTCATCAATGACCTTCTTCTATTCTAAGTTACTCAACTCCTCTTCTCTTTGCTGATGACTTTAAAAAAATTTCCATATTACTTCTAAAGATGCCCTCTTAGCACTTCAAGCTGACCTGGACGCTTTTTATCACTGATCTTTAAAGAATCAAATGCATCTTATCTTGATAAATGGTATTCTATGTGCTTGTACTGAACTTAAAACTAAGTATAACTTCACTAGTTTCGTGGTCTGCTTGACCAATTAATATCTTACAATTAATTAAGGTTTTTAGTTGAGATGAAAAAAGTTAATGGCACGAGCAGGATTCGAACCCACGATCTTCGGCTAGATACGCCGCAGCTCTACCACTTGAGCTATCGTGACCTCGATCCACTCAGACACCAATCTTCACTAAAGCTCTCCATAGCCATTACATTGAGATTCATTCGCCGAGAATCAAATAGATCACACGACATTTGAAAAATGGCAAAAAGGAGGGAAAATTGAAAAGGTGGTGTTGAGATGGGAAGTTGGTGTCCGAGTGGATCGAGGTCACGATAGCTCAAGTGGTAGAGCTGCGGCGTATCTAGCCGAAGATCGTGGGTTCGAATCCTGCTCGTGCCATTAACTTTTTTCATCTCAACTAAAAATCTTAATTAATTGTAAGATATTAATTGGTCAAGCAGACCACGAAACTAGTGAAGTTATATTTAGTTTTAAGTTCAGTATTTATATTTTCAGTATCCCACTCATGACACTGACTTTTTATCTCAACTAAAAACCTTAATTAATTGTAACTAATTATAACTTCACTTACTTTATTCATAATAATGTTCTTCCTTTTCAAATTACTTCTAAAGACCTTGGTGTTATTTTTGACCACAAATTAAATTTTATTGCCCACATTGATCATATTAAATCCTCAGTTTAAATATGCTGGGTTTCTTATCTTGTTACTCTTCTGATCTGAACCCAAATACCTTGATCATTCTGTACCTATGGCTTGTAAAATCAGTGTTTGAATACTGTTCTGTTTGGAATCCCTATTACAAAATCTACTTACAAAACTTCAATCTGTACAATTTAAATTTATCAGAATTCTTGCCTATAAAATAAGAGTAACTATTACTGTCTATAGACAATTTGACATAGACAAGTACTTCAGTTTATTACCCCTAGCAATTCACTTACTCTTTTCAAAATAATTAACTACTACATTGGCCATTCCTTTTTACTTAGTCAAATTAACTTTTTCATATTTCCTACCATTCTACTAACTATAGTAAAAATACTCCTATTGACAGAGCTAATAACTTCCCACATCTTACTATTTTAAATTCTTCTTTTTACACATTTTAAAGTCAATTGTGCAGGCATGTTAAATCTTGAATTATTATGTATTTTAAGTTAAATCATCTTTCATTAGTTTTATAGCAATAAAATGTTTTTCATATAAATTATTTAAGTTGCACTTCTGTACGTACATGTATAAGTATGTATTTCCATATTTAACTTTATATTATTTCTAATTAACATTTTTTACTGAATATAATTCAACTAAATATGCACAAAATACTCGTATTTTTACTTACTTAACCAACATAATTATGTAATTATTTTCTAATATTATTTATATAATATTTTAAAATAGTTTATATTAATTTACAATGACAATTTAAAAATATATTGTTCACAATGATAAATGTGATTAAGTACTATTGCAATGATAAATGTGATATTTTTAGGCATACTTATATGAATCATTCCGTTAAGCTATTTTCTTACTTAACTTTTTTTTTGCAAGTTGAAACCCCATTTCTTAAACCAAAGTAAACAAAAGCAAAGAAAAAATATATATACAATACAATGCTTATAAGTAACTCAACATTAGTATACATCATTGAAAAAAACAATAAAATCCTCATAAAATAAAACAACATAAAGATTTAATTTATTTTTTTATTAATGGCTAGAAATATACAAAAGGAAAAAATATGTATATACAAAAGGAAAAATATATATAAATAATATAATAAAGCATTTATAACTACATACATAGTGCATTTTTAGCTTTTTTAACTAAATAAAATATACAAAATAAAGAAGAAAAAAATATATACAATACAATGCTTATAACTGAGGTTCTGTTTCCTCTTTAAAATGTCAGTTACTTAAAGTATTATAATTTTATTTAGTTTTAAAAAAGTATACAAAAGTAAAGAAAAAAATATATACAATACAATGCTCATAACTAACTCAACATTAATAAGAATAAAACACTACATTATACATAATTGAAAAAGACAATAAAATCCTCATAAAATAAAACAACAAAAAGATTTAGTTAAACACCCTGTCTATATAATGATAAAGACTAGGAATTATTAAAAATATATTAAATAATAGAATAAAGCATTATAACTACTACATAGTACATTTTTAGTTCTTTTTTAACTTAATAAAATTATTATGCTTTAAGTAACTGAAGTTTTAAAGAGGAAACAGAAGTACTAAATAAATCAACAGTATTGCTTATGTAGTTACATTCTACCATTATATACTGCATCAGGAAGTGTAGTGAAAAATTTGTTCCTTTATATTCAATAAAAATATATTTTTTATGCTTTCTGAGGTGGCAAGGAGGTGGATAAAATTGGATTTTACCAAGGATTTCTCGGGAATCTACACAATTATTAAGTAATTTAAAAATAAAAATAATCTCAAAATACTGTCTTCTTATATTGTTTAATTTTAAGTAATTTTTCCTTCTTAGTTTTGCTTTTATATTGGTATATTATATATATATTGTATATTTCTATATTTAAACGTTTTTGTAAATTAGATTAATTCCTTGAAATATATTATTATAATGACAGGTGGCCAACATTTGTTAAGGAGAGGTTTCCCGCTTTGCAGATGGCGAGGTTAGTGAGATTTCTTGTGAATCTGTAAATGCTTGTTTTCTTTACACTTTAAGATGTAACCGATCAAATAAAATAACAGGTAAAATAAATATAATTTGCATTCTGTTTCTAACGTTTTATTGAGTAGAATGGGAGCAAATTGAAAAGGAAAGAAGTGCGTCGTGTCAATATCAATGCTGACCAGATTCGTTGCTTAGGTTGGTAAATCGAGAGTTCGCCCTGCTACATAGCCGATGTTATGTTATGTTATGATATCATCGTGAGGACAGTAAGAGGGTTGGGCCTCTTAGCTTGAGTCCGTATCTGTTTAGTTTCCACCACTCGTTTCCTTTGTGGATAGGAATATCAAAAACCACTCCCATGTTTTCTTCGATAAGTTCCAGCAATGGGTGAGTACTGGCCCCATAGGCATTTCGACAGTCATTTAAATAGGTTACCTTTAAAGACTGTAAATTGCCGTTTGCTCGGGTCTTTGACATCTCTCGACACCTGCTTCCTCTCTGTTGTCACGTTTGTAATATTATTTTGTTTTTGTTTTGTTTTTTTTCTTCGTCCTCGCCTTCAGCCGAAGCGATTGTTGAATTCGACTACAAATCAGACCAACCGGACGAATTGACTATTAAAAAGGGAGACATTATTACTGACATCAGCTTCGTATCCGAAGGATGGTGGGAAGGCACTCTGACCAGACTTAACAAAAGAGGCATGTTTCCCGATAATTTTGTCAAGGTAAGTTCGACTCCTTTTATCAGAAAAAAAAGGGCAAAAGTCACTATACAACACTCCAGACACTATACTTCAACTCTTTATACAGCCATTTTTAGCCTCTTTCACTCTAATTTACAAAACTCTAAAATTATGATCACACTCCGATCAGTCCTCACATTTCCTGTGAGTTTTCCAACTTCTTGTGATGGTTCATCGATATGCATAAATTGTCAAGATAGCCTTAACTGCTTCCCTTGCAGTATGAGTTTCAACAGAAATCACATTAACATATGTTGCCCAACATGAGCTCGAGCAAGTTTAAAAAATTAATGTTTTCATTTTTTAAATAAAGCCTAGTATAATTGCCACTAATAAAAATTATCTCATCTACATTTCACACATGATGTTCTTTACTACTAAAATGTTAAGATTAAAATATGTTTGATTTAAAAGATAAGTATATATTTTGGAACTACTTTGACCCCTCCGGCTGAGACTGGAAGAATCTATTTCTGTTGGAATGCCATTCTTCCAATACTTTTTGCAATAGATTTGTTGTGAATGACTGTCCGGATTTGAAGCATTAAATGCTCATCATCATGTTGAAAGACAATCTCTCGATATGAATTGTAAGAGTGATTTTTGTCAAAGCTGGGGGACGAAGACAATCTTCGTTTAAAAATAGGTGAGGGGCGTCGCTGGCCATAATGGTTTAGGCATTGACATGGCACTCCACTTTAACCTAAAGGTCTCGGGTTCGAATCCAGCAGACTGCATTTGAACCCGACATAGGGATAAAAGAGGCAGCCACAAGGCCTACTGTACATCAGCCTGAATAGATCTATTGTGCTCCTCTGTTATTTATAACTCACTGGTCAGCTTCAGGTTATTAATCAGCTTCCACAGCTTTGCCAGCGTCTCCTGGTTTTTCTTGCCCTAGTTGCAAGGACCTGCACCTACATAGACCTTCACAGAAACATAGAATGTGTTCTGCGGTCTCCTCCTCTTCTTGGCAATGTCTGCATAGTGTTTCTTCTATCCGGTGCTTTCTTAAGTGGCAGTGCCTGTCAGGGGTCCAACCAAAATCCTGGTTCGGTTGCGGTTGCCTTCCAGGTAATTCTTTTGTAAGTTTTGCAGATGGTCCTTCTTTGAATCTTTTCGCGTGCCTCATTATTATATTATTCCACCACGTTTTGGACTCATTACCTATTTTAAAATGTATCCTCTTTTGTGGCAGGCTGCTAAGCCACAGTACAGTTCAGGGCCCAGAGAGACCCTTTTTGGACAACATGTCAATCTTTTCGTTGCCTCTATGCCCCGAATGGAACTCGACATACTTACAAATGCCCCCACCCAAAAAAAAAAAAAAAAATGGCACCCCAAGGATCTATGTAATCTCTAGTTGAATACCCTTGTGATGTTCAAGAATATGGTGACATAGTTATATAACGAGGTTTGAGGATTAAAATTAAATTAAAAGAAAGCTGAGAGAAGAAGTCGAAGTAAGGCGTTTTCCTTCATCATCATGGATCTAATAGTAGTGAAAAATAACAATTTCAATTATGATTTGTTACTGGGTTTAAGCACATTTAAAAGATTCAAATTGATGCAAGACAGAAACTTAAGAATTAAACAAAAATTAAATGATAAGATGGTAAATGTTGCGCATGAACTCGATGTGAACGATTTAAAAATAAACCATGAAATTTAAAAGGCATTTATTTCTAAGAATAAATTAAAATTTTGTGGAAATTTTGATACTGAAAATGTTTTATTAAATTTAGATCACTTAGATAAAGAAAAAGAAGAAAATATCAAAATTAGAATTAATATTAGACTATCAAACCTGTTTTGCACAAAATAAATTTGATGGTTGTTCAATTAGCTATGGTGAAGCAATCATTAAGCTAAAGGAAGACAAATATATTTCAAGAAAACCCTATGGGTGTTCATTTCCAGATGAAGACCAGATAGATTCACATATTTCAAAATTGTTGGACAATGATCTAAAATTCTCTTATAATTCATGTTGAGAGACTCCTTTGTAACTTTGTTTGTAACTCCTTGTAACGTCATCATCCGGTGTGCGGCACTCTCAACACGACACGCAAGGATGGCACAATTACACAGAAGACAAACACTTTGAGCCCTGAAGATGATCTCAATAAAAGATCGAAACGTTGGCATGATAAAGAAAATGTTTTTCTGAAACCTACATCACACCCGACCGCATCTCATGATATCTGAATAACTATTAATTTATTGTTGTTAATTGGTTGGAAAATATAGACCCTGATGATGACCTTGAAGCCCGGGTCAGAAGCTTGGCAAAGTTGGAATTTGGTTTTTATTCTACCCCTTGACCATAATATTGATCATACATTAAACTTCAAGTGGTCAATACTTTCTCTTCAATAACTCCTTCAAGCTGATGATGAGCGTCTAATGCTTGAAATCTCGATAGTTGTAAACAGCAAATCTTTGAGTAGAACCATCTTTTACAAAAAGTGAATCTACTTACTCAACCTTCATCATTTCTTCAGGAAGGTGTTGATGAAGAGGGGACGAGGAAGCTTCAAAATATATACGTTCCATAAAAACACCTGATCTACCTCAAACTTGTTTCATAATTTTGCCACTAAAAATGTATGTCATGATTTTTTTGTTATTATTATTTATTATTTTTTTATTTATAAATTTTATTTAACTTATTTGTTGCTCTGACGTAGTTGAAATCTGCTGTATCTTGCTTTATGCTCTTTGCCCTTCTTCACCCAAATGAAACATGTTTCCTACAATAATACATTGAATTCTGCGTTTAATGTTTGTATTTACCAGCAAATAATTTTTAATGAATGGAACTTTGAAAATTTGTTGTGAAGTATTTTTTGATAATGTTGCTCTATATAGAATATGCTTTATTTACATGATACATTTGAGTTGTAGTTAATAAAAAAAAAGGTAAAAATATACCAAATGGCATGTTTTTAAAGTATGTCTGCCCTTGGTGGCGAGTATTATTAAAATTTCTACAATCTTCAATTGTTAGCATAATGAACTCATTTGCTTTGCTTAGCATAATTAAAATCTGCTGGATCTTGCTTTTTCCCTCTTTGAGACAGTCCATCTCCAATTCCCAAGTTGGGGGAACAAATAGCACAACTGTTTTATATTTCATTTTAAAAAATATATATAAATAATTTTTATATTTGTCACCAAACGATGTGTTTCACAGCTTTCCAACTGATTAAAAATGTGTCTGGAAGTTTTGAGCCAGGGCTAGTAATTTGATCATCACTGATCAGCATTTTCTATGCACAATAGAAATGACAGTGTAAATCGGGAGTGTTCAGTCTGCTGAGAGAAGAAGAAAAAAGTAATAATAAATTAAAATAGGTATATTGCTGTATTAGAACATAAACAATAGTGATGGAAATAGGGGAAAAAATTTTCCCAAAGACTCAAAAATATACTTGTTGACAAAATTTCACACAGCATTTTGGTTATTTTTGAGTTATTTAGTATTTTTAAATTAAAATATCAGACATGATTTAATCGAAATGTGTGGTGATCGTTTTTCCCATCGTCAGCTCTTTTCACCTCAAAAAAGCCGACTCCTTATACAAAAATGTCTTTCTGTACCGACTTCCTTCCCCACCCCTTCAAAAAATCCAACATATATAAACATAAAACAACAATATCCCACTGGCACTCTCAACACGACATGCAAGAATGGACAATTACACAGAAGACAAACACTTTGAGTGAGTAGAAATACTTTGATTGAATATAAAATATATATATTGCATTGTATATGAATGTTTTTTCCACATCCTACATGTATTTGTTAAATTTAAACAATGTTTGTAAATCCCACGAAGATGATCCCAATAAAGATCGAAACGTTGGCATGATAAAGAAAATGTTGTTCTTAAATCAAATATGACATAATCACATATTTATTATTCCATTATTACATACATAATTTTTACATTCTTTGAAGCATTATCCTACCATAATTAAAATCTGTGTTTTACTTTTTAGCCCTACTTGAGGCTAAAAGTTACCAATCTCTGACTCCCAAGTAAGGAACAAGTTTCTAATTTAATTTTGCGTTTTTCCTGAAGCTAATCTCAAAAATAACACTACTGCTTGATTTGATGTTTTACAAAATAGGAAATTTTGTTGTTCAGACTATTTTTATTTAGTACTTAAATATTTAATAATTAAAACAACACGTTGTTTTGGAAACTATAAATGGTATAAATCAGTTTCAATTGGCACCAGATCATAAAAATCCAATTAATGGTCCTTATTAAATGCTTAAACACATGCCTAATGATTTTTATATACATAAACTAAACATCTTTAATATGGTAGCTTATTTACTTGGCCTAGCTTAATTCAAATCTATTGCAGTTCACTTTTTAGCTTCAAGGAGGCTAAAATAATTTCAAACTCCCACGTAGGAAACAAGTATTCAATGTAATAAAGTTAATTTAATTAAGCATTTGTGTCTTTACTTTACAAAATTTTAAAAGAAGCATATATAATTTAGTCCAAAAACAATCAGCATATCACAGTAATTGCTTATTTTGATTAATTATGCAGAATTCTATGCAGTGAATCAGCTTTCTTCCGATTGGCAAATATTCTAATCTCATAGCATTTCCATAAATCATTGATATTTTCAGAGTCATAATTACCATTGATTTTAAGCATGCGTATTAAGTCATATGAAACAATGCATTGTGGTATGTAACTCGTATGAAAAAACTTAAGGAAAAGATAATCTTATCTGAAGCTCAAGTGTCACTCTTACAACATAATACATTCAATAAATAAAATATTTAATATATCAACTTAAAATTTTAACGTAATAGTATCATTTAATGTCCATTTAATCAGAGCCATTTAATTTTTTTTCCATAAGCACTAAATAATGTTTCTAAATGTACATTTTTCCTTTCTTCGATATCAATTGCAAAGCCCTCTTCAGTCTTATTTACTCGGTTTATTTGCTGAAACGCATCAATAAGACTGACGAGGGGAGATGGACGCCCCCAAAAGCGAACCAAAGACGAGACTGCAGTTCTTAAAGAAAGCCTACATACCAAATAATGTATTTTTAGCATTTCATTCTCTCTATCGAAACAATGGGAAATTTTGACTCATGCCCCTTTATACAAAATGAACTATCTTTAGAGATAAAATAAAAAAAGCTTTAAAGTAAATTTAGCTTGTCCTATGATAAAGAGTTTTATTTTTTTAATCCACCATCATAGTTATTAATTAATTTAGGATATAATATTACCTGGATATAATCATACCTATTATGACTATAGGTGAATGAAAAATAATACTTAAGTGGCTTTTTCTTTTTTTTAGTAAAGAAAATATGATGAAAATATCTTGCTTCATTATTACATTTTGAATTTGTATAATAATATTATTTTCATTTAAAGGCTTTAGATGGTCTTCTTAGAATATGTTGTATATCTTTTTCTTTTATTTATGTTACTGTATGCACATTACAGTTAGTCAGTGATCCCGACGGGAAAGCTTCATCTCACCAGTCTTGTAAGATTATTTATGAAAGATCTATAATTTTGATCCCATAGACAATAAATATAAACAAATCTATTTATATTTCAGCGACAGGCCGGAAATGCCAAGTGCTATTTAATTACAAGCCAGCGAATGAGGATGAATTAGAACTCCAGATTGGAGACATGATAGATATCCTTTCTGAAGTTGAAGAAGGATGGTGGAGAGGAAAGTTAAAAAATCGGGTAAGCTTGTGTATTGAAAAGAAGAAAAAATACAAGTAGAACACAGAGGTGGGGTTGTGTTTGTAGGGGGGATGTAGTGTAGTTTGATTAAATTGTAAAGATATGCTGTTATCAGAGTAGTTTCAAAGAAGGCGTTACTGTGTTATGTTCTTAGAGGAAATTCTTTTTTGTAATTTTCGAAAAATGTCATCTTTTAAGGAAAAGTTACAATTACGCCTGAAAAAGGTATAAATGTTAAAACACCGCAATCATCTTAAATTAATTATTATCAATGATTCATTGCTATTTGTCAAGTGTGATTCACACTCCTCATTCCCCTACTTCTACCATTTGTCCTTCATTGGAAAGTTTGTTGTTTTGGAAAATTAAACAATTATTACCAGTTCAAACTACTGGAGAAAATAGAATGTCTAAAATTTACAAATGTTTTGCAAATATATGAAGCTTGTTATTTTCCAGTCGATGACCTATCTTAATTCAAACATTAAACATTTAATGGACATCTTATAGGCCTATATTTAACTGCATAAGTAATTTCATTTCAAAATAAGAAGTGTTGATCCTGTTTTCAACTCCATTCACAAAATGTTTCAATTTAAAAAAATATAATTGACATAATTTATGCTTTTAGCTTTTGTAAATATCCTTAAGAAATGTATAAAGAATTGTATCTGTAGATTTTACAAAACAAAATCTTCAATTTTGTTTCTTTTATATATAGTCAAATTAAGGTGTTTTTTGACAGTGTAAATACATGTTAAATACTTTTTTATTCAGGTTGGTGTGTTTCCTTCCAACTTTGTAGCTGAAATAACTGAAAAAAATACTAGAGAAGCTTCCCAGCGAAAACATAAAACAAGTCAAGACGAAACATTCAAATCTTCCACTGGTAGATGTACTTTACAATTGTAAACACTAGCATGTGTTTATTATATTGATTTGTTTTCAGTTCTCACGCAAGAACATACAAGTTCGACAAATACGCACAGTTTGTCTACTTCAAAAATAGCAAGCACTAGTGTTCAGTTGACACCTGAACTACCAGTTCTTCCACCGAAACCAGGTATTTTTTCGGTGATTGACTTTTATACTTTAATAATCAGAATTATTACTCTAATGTTTGCAGTAAAAGAACTTTGCAAAGCAATATTCAATTACGAGGCTCAGAATTCAGATGAGCTGACGCTCCAAGAGGGTGATGTAATCACCTTAATAACAAAAGAAGGTCAAGATCCTGGATGGTGGAAAGGTGAACTGAAAGGCAAAATTGGTTTTTTTCCAGATAATTTTGTCCACATCATTACACCTTCTGAAGATGTGAGCATTGACTTAAGATACGATAAAAAATTTCATTTTGCTTATGAAAATCGATTGTTTTCTTTTAGGTTGCCAAACCAGACCGACCTTCCAAAGTTGTCTCAACTTCAGGAAAAGCAATAAGCAAATCGGCAACAGCTTCTTCTATGAGTTCTATAACTTCAATAAGCAGAAAATTTAGTGATACTGCAAAGTCAGGTATGTAACCAAAAATATTATAATTTATTGTATGTGATTTGATTAATTTTATTGCAGATATAATGAAACTAGATGAAAAGCTCAACCACCCTTCAGTTAGTAAAAAGCCCGTTTTGCCTCCTCCACCGGTAAAGAAACCACATCGAAGTTCCAGTGATCTCGCCAAATCTCCCACCGCTCCTAATTTGTTGTCATCTAAAGTAATGGACATCAGTCCAACTTCACAAGGTATTACTAAGTAATTTAGTCAATATTTTATTTCATCTAACAACACATTATTCTAAAGGAGCTGCGAGCAGAACTGGATCTATGTCGTTGATCACAAAACAGACAAATTCAGAGACAGCTACGAACAGTAGCAATATGAGTAAATGGTCAAGCATGACTGAGACGACAAATGACAATACTGATGGAGCACTCTGGAGCAAGCAGGGTTCATATACAATCAAAACTGAAAATAAGTAAGTTAAGCTCTTTTTAACATAAAATCTTAATAGTGCATAATTAAATAGGACATACCACTCTGCATTAACAGTCTCTTAGTTCATTATCAATTATTTTGTTTTCAAATGGTCTAAATTTACCTGGTTTGCCAAATGTATTTGACAGACCAACCCAGCAAGGATAGACAGACCAAATTGATCGGTAATGACAAAAAACAGTTCATTACCCCACAATTCACACGGAGAAATCTTAAAAGTGTCTTGTTAAGAAAACAGCAGTTTTAAACAATTGTTTAATTTAAATGTTTTTTGTTTGTAGTGTTGTTAGCGTAAACAGTGGAAGCAATGAGCCTGATCTGGATATGGTTAGTAGAGCAGCCATGCTAACTCATCCAACAGCATCACGGGTGAAAGCACCAAAACGCCGTCCACCTTCTGCTATTATAAAAGATGTAATTATCAACCTTTGTATGTTTTTGTTTAAAAATTTATTCTTACATATTTTTTTTTTAATTTAGGAAATGAAAAATGGAGAGGAAGAAGAAGAGTTAGCTGTATTATCAACTACAAACTCAACAACTGTTACATCCACAACAATATCACATACTTCCACTGTGATATCTTCGTTGTCATCTTCATCATCAACAAACATGAGAACCAGCACAATGTTAGTGAACGGTGATTCCGACTCACACGCTGAGAAACCCATTAAAGCACCTTGGGTTAAAGAACTGGAGTTCAATCAGGCTAAAAAGTCTTTGCAATGTAAGTTATCATTACTCATTAAAATAATTCACACAGTTAATTTTTATAAAATTGTCTTTAGCTGGGAAGACCAGGGTTATGATTGGTGGTGACAGTGCAGTAGCGACTTCTTCAACTACCGTGGCGCCTGCAGTAAATAGTAGTCCGACAGCAGTGAGTCCAGAAAGCAAACCGTTAGGAGTAACGTTAAGGTCGAACCAAGGAACAGGTAGCAACGTACCAAGGCCACAGTCATTAATCGGATCCTTGCGATCGACTCTTAGTGGAAACTCAAATTCTGGGGATTCAAATGCTACAGTATCTATCAAGCAGTTCAACGAACTTCAGGAAAAGGTATTTTCAATTAATTTTATATGATATTTAACATATTCACTGTGGCAGTGCCTTATGGCCTTTGCCGAGGCCGGGACATACACTACCTGCTTGAAAAACTAGGATGCCCGCAAGCGTCCCCCAGCCAGTTGGCGTAACTAGGGAACTATTTCATTGTTCGGGAACCTAATCCAGTTTCACTTTTTACCTGTTTTCCACCTCTATATAATTATATATATATATAATAAATATGTGTCTAATATCATATCGTATAAAAATAATAATAAATAATATTCTCTATAAGTAAAAATCCGGTAGTTGGAACGAGTTGGACGAACGCATCTTACCTTGGGTCAAACTGAGGCCAGATAGAGCACCAAGTAGGTAGAATGTTTCCTCACAAAGCCAATCCCAATCAATCTTCAATGAATGTCTTAATAGACCTGATGAGTTATTTTGTCCTCTGACGATACACAATTTCAATGGGAAACCCCTGCCCATTCGTTGATACATTTTCTTTGGCTTGATTTTGAACTCTTCCTGCTTTTGTCAGTCATAGTGAAGTGTTTTCCTTTGTACACAATCTCATAATAGTTAAGCTGATAGAAATGTACCGTCTGAGAAATTCAAATGTATTGATTGTTTTCATTCCATTTTTCCATTTTATGGCATGTTTTTGTGGCCGGTTTGTATATTAATTTAAGTTCCAATTGGTTGCCCTATTGCATCATTCTGAAATTCCTGTCCGCAAGGTAAATTTCAAGAAGTTACAGCTTCACTTTTTTTAATTTTATGTGTGTAATCAAATACTTTAACTAGATCAAGGCCAATTCTTCTTCTTCTTCAAGCACTTGTTTAACAACTGGTGATTCACTTGACTTTTCAAGTTTGTCTGGGGTCGTCTGAAAATCTGAATAGAATTTTGAGCCTTATTAACAAATTCTGTAAATGCATTATCTAACAATTTTTTATGTTATAAAACGTCCAGATGTTTGAAAAGATGGTAGTTGATAGGCGAGAGGTCTGGAGAATAGGGAGGGTGATGGGAGTCCATACGCTTTGGAAAATATCACCTTTGTCGAGCCAATGTCTGCTGTTGTAGAGAATCCACTTATCATCACAAGTAATAATTCTGACCAGAAAAGCTTTTTTACCTTTCTAATTGCGGTAAGCTGGTCAGCAACAGTCAATTTGCTAAATGAAAGATTCTCTGCAAGTTCTCTAACAGCGTGAGATTTTATTCTACCAAAGCTCGCGGAACATCATCATCTAGGGATGAAATCCTTCAACGACCTTCTTTGTTTTGAAGGCTAGTCGCCCTCTCGAAGTTTTTTAAACCATCTCTATACGGTGCTCTCACTCAGACTGCCATCGCCCCAGACTTCATTAATGTTTCTGCTCATTTGGGCACCGTTCTGACCAAGTTTAACTTAAAAAACAAAATGACATGGAAATCATGTGTTGACACGTTAGTTAAGAATGAATTATTCTCAAGAAACATGCTACTGAGGTAAACAAACATTTTTGTTTGGAAAAAAAATGAAAAGTTCAAAAGAAATAAGATTCAAACGTTAACATGTGTATATATTTATTATTATAATTAATTATTCTTTTCATGTAAGGTCTTAGTTGAAATGAAAAAGTTAGTGACACAAGCGGGATTCGAACCCATGACTTTCGGCTCAACACGCCATTGCTCTAACCACTTGAGCTATCATGACTTCGATCCACTCGGACACCAATTCCCATCTCAACCTACAACCTTTCGAATTTTCCCATTTTTCAAATGTCGTGTAATCAGGATTCAATTCTCGGCGACTTATAAAGTGGCCACGGAGAGCTGTTAGTGAAGTTATAATCTGTTTTACTTATTAAATTCATTATGTTTAGTGGTATGATTGACCAAATTACTTCTTTCGATGCAAGTTGGTTGGAATGAAAAAGTTAATGCCACGAGAGGGATTCAAACCCATGACAACTCAAGTATGAGCAGCGGTGTATTGGGCACATGGACTCATTATACTGCAATTTCTTCAAGCATTAAACAATTGTAAAGGCAACAATATATAAAAAATCATTTTTATAAACAATATACATTTGAATCGCCCTTTTTCTCAAGTGTCAGTACGAGTATTTAATCCGCTGAATTTATTTTTTAGATTACGAAAATGGAGCTACATTTTGAGTCGCACATAAACACACTTACAAGGACTGTTAAAGAACTCACTAGTAAATTGGAAGAAGAGCGAGTGAGGAGGGTTGTTATGCAGCACGAGCTTGAAAAGCTCACTGGCCTTGTCACTCAAGTCTAGTAAGTTTTATGATTAGAAATTTTGAAAAGAAGACCAATAATTTGTATATAACAGTGTTACAAAAACACTAATGAAATTTTAATATAAGACAAATGTTAGAGAAAGAGAAAAAAAAGATATACATTTTTTTTAGTCTTTCATTTGGGATAATGTATATAATTTGTACTTAATTTTTTTTTAAACCAATATAGTCGGACATAATTAATTTGTTTAAAATATAAGTTTTATGTAACAGTGGGAAATCTATTTTGTGATTGCAAAAGAAAATGATGCTTTTAATTTTATTTTAATATAGCATTAATTACAATATTATTCCGTACAGATAGTACTACCAGACTGCTTTCTATATTAATATTCTAAACGCCCGCCTTTTATTATTGATAATTTTAACCTGTAATAGATTATTAGATGTGAATACAAAATTATTAAATGTGCTGAAATTTATTATTTCTTATTTGATTATAATAGCTTTTTGAGTCTTCCAATATACAAAATTTGCTCAAATTGATTTCAGCATGAAATATTTACGTTTCTTTTTACATTCTTTTTTTTTGCTAGTCTGTTTAATTTAAAACAAACAAAAAAAGGCTTATAAAGTGTGAAGTCGAAGTTTTGACTTTTCAAACAAATTGTTGCAAATATTAATTTTTTTACTACAAACCGGTCTCAGCAGAGGATTGAACGCCATAAGGATCTTAATTAAACAATCAGACCATTCATGATTGCAGTAACAGGCAGGATTTATTGTCCCAGGATTATGGTCGAAGTGCGCCAAGAGCATTTGCAGCACAAGATATCCAACCCCTACTCTTTCCAATCTATCTGCAGCGACAGATAACTCCAAAACATTCCCGATTGTGACAGTAGGACTGTCAACAATCACTACGTAAACCACTTCTCCTGTTGGCATACCTATATAGCTGTCCCATGATCCTATAGCAATATCAAAGATAAATGATCCCGTCTGCACCAATCCGTGCAAGCCCTCGCCAATAGCAACCACCATGGCTACCTCTCCCAATCAGAAAAGCACTGCCTTCAAGAGATCCTTCTGCTGCTATAGATGCATCAACCATCACGGCAGATTATGTATTATGTGCGATGACCTTTATGTGCCACATGTAATTTTTAAGCATAATTTATTTGTTATTCTAGTAATTTGCTTAAATTCATTATTGCCTTGATTTTTTTTATAGTTTTTATAAGACTAGTAGTGTTTTTAATAGAATTTTTTGAAACTTAATATATTTTTATATATAATTAATAGAAATAAAATAGACGTTTATGAGCCCGAATCCAATTCCACGTGTTGTAATTGTGGTTGTAATCGCCTGTAGCGTCCGGTCTTGTTCAAGTTTTGCAAGCGCGTCCTCAACGGACTTTTCTCCTACGTATAGATCTTTAACTATACTTGCTTGCATGTCTCGCATATATTGACGGCCTTTGTCAATGCGAAACGTTTCCTTCCTGTCAGTGTTATACTTTGCGCGGCTATGACTGCCACGACCTCTAGGACCTGTTCTAGCTGCTCGCTGAGGTACAGCAACCTCAACTTCAGCGGTAGGATTATGTCTAAAAGCGTTGGTGTTATGCATTTTAGACGAGTTTGGGGCTGATATCAGTAACCACCTAAAATCGCTAAAATATATTTTTATAAGCATACAATATTATGTATACAGTACCATTTCATATTTGGGGGTAATAATTAACATTAAAAAACCATTTATATGAAGTATATCCATGACATGGTGCTGAAAATATAAAAAAATTTATATCCCATCCAGTTTTATAAAATTAGCGACAACTAAGAACTAAAACCAATCCGCGTTGTCCATTTATTGTCTTTTTCAAACGGGTCTTGATTTGTTTCGTTTGTTTTACAGTTTTATTAAATGACAAATACTGTCAAATTTGAAACTGTAGATTCTCAGGGAAGATCAGGAATCAATTTTAACGTAACGATAGTGTTCATGTGAGTGGATTTTTCAGTTTGAAATAGATTATTGCACAGTATATACATATCTTGCTGGTGTCACAAGCTAAAAAAAAAAATTGTAGTATTGTTACATTTGGGTCATAGTGGAACCAGTTTCAACAACTTAGTTAGTCGTTTTGCATTTTTAAAACACTGCTTTTATATGAATGGTTTATTTTTTTAAATTTTATTTTAGTTTCTTTTTCTCTTAACTCACGTTGTATTTTTCTAATTATATTACTAGACTACTTAAATAATATTAATAATCGTAAGATTGGAAAACATACAACGTCTATTATTTACGCTTGCATCTTCAATATTTTAACATTTGCCTGCATCTTTAAAAGACATATTTATAATTATATTTTTTAACAATGCTTAAATAGTATAACAAAACCATTAAGCAGCAAATTAATCAAATTCATGAAAATCAAAGTTTTGTTTAAATTTTTATTCTTTTATAGTGCTATGTACATTAAAGCAATATGTAGTTTAGTTATTATTTATTAATTTTATTTATATATTGGCTATCTTAATGTACTATATAAAAAATAAATAAATAAACGTGTTAAAATTATTTGTACTTAAATGGGAAAAAGTCCAACGAATTTTATAGTGCAGTAAATCGCAAAATGAACTTGATGCAGTATTATTTGTAGAGTGAAACTTTATTTTATTATTAAATTGATATTGTGAAATGTTTATTGTTGAAATTTGTCAAACGTTTATTTAAGTTGATATTTGTGTAAGTCTTTTGACATGACATGATTGAATTGTTAAAAAGTAATAGAAATTAATTACAAACATTCCAAGCAATTATCATTCCATTAAAATGAATTAGAAAACAGTTAAAAACTACAATGTAAATACTATGTATTATTTGACTTACAATTTATTGTTTATTGTAAATTTAAACTGTTAAGATTGAGAATTTACTTACTGATAGGTATTAAAATTACACGTAACAACAATTTTTAAAAAATGTTAACTTTTGATTACGCATTTGTAAATATACAAAATTTTATTTTGTAACCATTGAGCTAATATAATTTTGTACAGCATGTTAATGATGTGCCTTTTTAAAAACCCTTCCTTCATTTTAATCATGGACGATACCAAAGGTAAAATGTTCATAAGTCGATGATCATCAATAAAATGAATACTCAATAGTTTTATTTTTAGAATGAATCTGAGAACAACTTATACAGCATTTTTGTGGTTTAATTTACGGCTTTCTATTCTATCACAAATAAAACTAATAACATTTCTTTTAGTCCAAAACACAATATGTATTTAGTATTCTTCAACTTTACAGATTTAAAAAAAAAATCGCATACCAGTTATTAATCATTTGTTAAAACTTGATCATTATACCCAGCTGGTATGAAATATGAAATTTATTGAATAACCATATTTAATTTTGCGTTAATTTTTTCTGGGCACTTCAAGGTAGTTTGTTGACAATATATTTACGACTTGTACATTTTTTTTAACGTTTTGTACTTAACTCTAGGCATGCTGAAAAACGGAAAGAGGGCGAAAGTCTAGTGGTGAATTTGCATCAAGGTACTTTATAAAATTGAACTGTCATTTTAAACCTTGTCTTTTTATTGTAATTTCTTTAATTTGTTTTTTTTTTTTTTTTTGTAATTTTACAAGAAGCAAAAGTCTCGTAACGGTAGAATAACCAATTCAATTTTTATTACCGAGATAAATTGTCCTTATTATTTCCTATGAGCCAAAGAGTTCGATTTATTAAAATATTGTTCTCGTTGGAGAAACATTTAGTAAATAAAATCCTACTTTAAAAAGCACTCAATATTTCAGTTTTGGGTAAGTGTCTGATAACCTATTATTTTGTTGCAATAATAAAAATCCTTCCATAACCATCGCTAAAAGCATAACTGAACTAATGGAGAAAGAAATGACCACACCCTGTATGAATCAACAAGGAAAACAAAAATAAACTCTCTCTCAATAGGCAAGAATTGAGGAAAACACTGCTGGACAAAATAAACACACCACCCTTAAATTTTAATGTATTTTGGTTTATTCGTATTTCACATATAATACCAAAAATACGTTACAATAAGACATTTAAAAAGAACATGTTTATTACCTAATTCTAAAAAACAATTATTGAGTAAAGAACAAAAAACAGAAATTCAAAAACAAATGGATTTACATTTAAACTGAATAAATTCAGTGGTGCATTAAATTAGTCCATCAGTGTAATAGGCCTTTCTAATGGCCATTGCCCGTTAACTACCTTTTAAAAAAATGGGAAAAAACATGGAAACATGCTGACAATGCTACGAAACAAGAAATATCAGAACATGTCCATGTGACCACAAAGCATTAGAACAGCCTCTTCGGATATGCGATACTAATGAGAAATAAAGAATAGTAGAGGGGTCAATAACAAAATAAGTCTTTTTGGCAAGAAGAAATAGCATCATGAGTAACGGCAGGAAAAAATTCCCTGTCACATAGGAGGGCTCAATCGATTACTTTTTAGGCATTGTAGACTAGGGACTTTTCCGTTACTTTTTTCAGGGCTTTTTCAATTCGACTATACTGGGATTTGAACTGGCAACTTTTTTTTTTTTTTTTTTTTTCAGTCAGATGTATTTTGGCTCAGTACATCTTCAAAAGTTGATTTATGATTTCCAGAACTGATTTTCTAACCCATGTATAGTCAATCTATACAAAACAAGAAAATCAATTTGTTAAATGAATTATCGTAGATCAATTAAACAATTAGATTATTGCTTTAATTGTTAACATATAAGCCCAATATTTATTTTATAAAATTTATAGTTTGGTCATTTCTGATTAGCTTGGTCAACTCGTTCTTGCTTGTGAGAATTATCACACCAAAATTACGACAAACATTGGTTAACCACCTCACAAACTCAACAAAACATCACACAATACATAAAATCTGTTTGACACATTTTAGAAATAGAGCTGTTCATTTCTCTGCCAAAAGTATGGATGCAAGAAAAGGCCGGAAAAGTGTGACCAAGGATTTAGTTCAAAACCGGAACAGAAAAGGTATTTGTTTAACACGGCCAGTTAATGCCGAGTTAAAATTTTGTTTTCAGGTTGTTTCGAAACGCTCAGTTCAGCAAGAGAAAAAGGAAGAGTGAAATATTTGCAAGCATCTGTAAAAGACTTCCTTATTTTTTTACTGTTCATGACAATCACATTAATGAGTAAGCCAACTTTAACATAAACATTTCGACATAAATTGTAACGCTAAACCAGAATATATAGAAAATGGTGTTTTTGTTAATAATATGATTTAAAAGAATTGTGGCTTTAGCATTATAAATTTATATTTAAAACAATCCTTCGTTCAAAAAGTTAAAAATTAATTTTCAGCTGTAGTTCTGTATGAAGAAAAACCATCTTCTCATTTTTTTCAAGTTGTTAGACATCTTGTAGTTACACCTAAGTTCCTTACTCCTGGCGGTTTACCAAAATCTTTCACCCAGATAAAATTAATTGATGAAATTTGGAACGTAAGTGTTCACAAAAATCAAAATATTTATATTAAATAATTACTGTTGATTTATTTCATTTACAAAAAAAAAGTACTTTGATTGGATTTTGTTACCTGCCATCTATAATACCTCGTATACACACAAAGACAGATTACAAAAAGATGTTTATGAAGAGAAAACCGATGAAAACTTGACTAATTTAATATGGGAAAATGTTTTAGTAGGAAATGCAAGAATTAGACAGGTGGGAAATAAACCATCTATAATTTATTTAAAGGAAATATATATGTATATTTTGGTAGGTGCGAGTTAAAAACGATTCTTGTTCGATTCCTAAAACATTCGAGCATATTTACAACTCATGTTTCTACTACTATAATCCAATTTCAAAAGATAATGCACCATTTGGACTTCAAAATTCATCCATGTAATTTACATTGTTGTTTTTTCATTAAGCATTTTATTATATTGATAATTTACAGTTGGACTTATAATGATGCAGAGAAGACTAAATCGTACAATTACTTTGGTACGGTTTCTCATTATGATGGTGGAGGGTATTTTTTAGATCTTCCGTATGCATACACCCATGCTAAACATTTCATTACTGAAATGTTTAACAATACTTGGATTGATCAAGCCACGAGGGCGATTTTTATCGATTTTACTATTTATTCACTTGTGTCTAATCTTTTCTGCCCCGTGAAGTATGATTTATAAGTTTTTTTTTTTTCTTTTTTTTTCATTTTAATTTACCTTGTATTTGGAATATTTTAGGCTCGTTTTGGAGCTTCCACCTTCTGGTGGAGTGATGACAAAATATCATATCAAGCCTACAAAACTATCAAGGTTCCATTGTTTATAGTGTATTGTACATACATCAAAATAATTAAAAATTGTATATATATAATCTGTTATTAGTTATACGACCAAGTGGGATTTTATGAGACTGGGTTTAGAACTTGCTGTATTACTATTTATCATCTATTATATCATACAAGAAATTAACGAGTTTATCATTCTTAAAATAAAATACTGTGTGACTTTTTCCAATATGCTAAATCTCGTTATTATACTGGTAGGTATTTTATTTTAATTATTATTTAAATTTTTAACATAATTTTTTTTCAGGTTGGTTTAATTTTTCTTTTCACAGTTGTATATCGATTTGTTATAGTTCGACATTTTAAGAACTTCGTGCTATCCATTTTGCCCGGCCATGTAGAATTTGACACGGTCACATACGTTCAACAAGTTTACGAAGCCAATCTCGGTCTTTTGGCATGTATCGTATGCATAAAATTTGTACGATTTGCCTATTTAACGAGAGAAGGAGCGTTTATAATTCACAGTTGGGAAAAGGTTCATAAAAAATACTTTTTTTTTTCATCCGGATAGCAATGTACTTTTCAGGTGAAAGAAGAGTTGTTGATAGTTATAGCCATGTTTCTTCTAGTTGTGTTTGGCTTCGCATTATTTGCACATATTCTGTTTGGTGCTCATGTACGTTTTGTTTTTTATAATTGTATTCTCAATTGAAAAATTTTTAATGAGATTTCTCCGTTGTCACAGTGTGGACCTGAAATTTGGTCGTTACTGATAATTTTGATATGTCTGTCCTCTTGGGACACTAAAGACTGCAAAGAGGACCTGGTGGTTTGGGTGCCCAACTAGTATTTTCCGTGCTGGTGGTACTGGGTTCAAATCCTGCCATGATTTTTTTAAATTGAGAATGGTATGAAAGAAGTATTGTAAAGTGGTTTGACACAACACCCAATGGGATGTTGGATGTTACGCCTTCCTGATGACAGGAATTCTTTACTTATTCAGATGGCAAAATGCTGAAATGCATCTGATCAATGCTGTGAGTACAGGTGGGTTAAAATTGTCAATAACGACCAAATTTCAGAAAAATATTTATTTCAATGATTATTCAAGGTATTTTAAATGTTTTATGTTAGCAATAATTCCTTTGAAACCAGAATTTAAATTTTTTCAGGTCGAAAAATTCAGTACAATCGGTAAATCTGTGTTCACGCTGATCTCTCAGATTGCTGGGGGAAAATTTTATTACAAAGAATGCACTAAGGCCAGGCCGATTTTCACCCTGATGTTTTACATTGTGTATACATTCTTAGTTGTTTTCATTTTTATGGTTTGTGAAAAATGTTTACAAATTTTTTTTTTATAATAAAGCCTGCCGTTTTTAGAATTGGATCATTGCATTATTTTGTCATGGTATGGCGCTTACGGCTAGAGAACACGGTATCGACAGGGATTCCTGGCGCGAGTTTTTCATTACCGACACGGTCTTCAACTGTTGGTTTCGGCTCATGAAATTGTTCAGAAAAGATGAAGCAGTTGAAAAAATGCGAAAGGCCGAGAAATTGCACAAGTATAAAACAGATTTTGAAATCATAACTATCTTACTAAAAAGGTATTTAGAAGAAATTCTCTTAAAGGAAATTTTTATTTGAATATATACATTTTTTTTTAAGAAATGGATTTTTATGGCTGGAAAGGATACTGTTCATGAGGCGCCACAAAATAAACACAGATTCCCATTTAAGCGAGAAACAAATGAATGATATTGTGGCCGATATAAATGGAATAAGTAATTTATGTAAGTGTTCATGTTTTTCCAAGAAAAAAAATTTTGAGTTGTGGAATATAGTTTGATATTGTTTAAATTTTACAGATTCTGAAGTTCAAGAACATGATTCCATAATGGAATTCATAAACATGTAAATAATGCATTTTTTTTAAACTAATTGATTCACTGAAGCTGTGAATCATAAAATTGTAATTTCAACAATTGCCGAATTATGTTTAAAATACTATAGGTTACAAAGAAGAATAGAAGAAGTTGAACATAACATGGCAGACATAGTTGTAAAAGTGGATGTCCTCATTGACAAAATGACGTTCCAAGAAGATCACAAAAAGCTAGATGAACAGAAGAGGATGAAAGAAAAGAAAATGAATTGAGTTGGTGTTCATTTTTGTTTATATGTGCCACAATAATGTAGTTTATTAATATTTAGTACACTTAAGTAGACAAGTAGATTAATTTTTTAAAAATGAATGATATAATTTTAAAACTGTCTATTTATTTATTGTCGTATACTACTGACATTAGATTTGTATATTTGATTTATTAATATGTATCTTCATTGTATACTGTACTATCTTCTAGCTCAGTAACTTTAGGTTTCTCATTTTCTGCTTCTCTAGAACTAGTTCCAAAAGAAGAAGATAATTCTTCCTTAGCATATTCAGGAAAGACAGATAACTTTTCTTCGGCTGATTCGGACAATGTTGAAGAAGATTTATCAAGGTTTAAATTGTTTTTATTCAAATCAGGATTGAAAAAATCGTCATCACTTGAATCTAATAAATTAGTTTGTTCTTCTGTTCCGTTCAAATCCTTCTTCCCTTCTTCAATTATAGCTGTTTGGCATACGGTGGTCTCTCGGAGGGGGACAACGCGCGATTGAAGCGTATTATGAATTGTTGTGTAAGATTTGTGTACGGCACCCCACGGGGATCCCAGGTGTCGGGGTTGTATTCCCAATTTTCCTGGCTATTCCCATCCTTCCGTGCACAGTATTTCCTAGGTTGCTTTCTTTTCCAGTCCATCCACACTTGTCGTCCTCCTTACATCATCCCCAATCGACCTTATCCTTCCGCAACATACAACCCATACCTTCAAAAGATCCTTTCTGATCCGAGCCCCTAAACTCTGGAACTCCCTTCCCTTTTCTATTCTTCACGCTGCCTCCTTTTCCTCCTTTAAATCCCACCTGTATAATCACCTCCTCTCCCTCCAGGCAGAGACCTCACATTAACATTTGTTATTTTTGTTTAATATTCTTGTAATTTTTTCTTCTGCCCTGCCTTATTGGTATACATTGTGCCAAGATTTCAATCTGTTTTTTTACTTTTAACTTCATAGAAGGAACTTCTTTTATTTATTTCATGTAAATTATTCTTAGGGGACACCAGTCCCAGAATAAAGTTATTTTTCTTCTTCTTCTTCTTCTTCTTCACTATCAATTTTATGTAAATTTGTTGTTTAATGTGTTTCTTTCTTTTAGATTCATAGAGATTTCCCCTTTTTGCATTTAAGCTTTTGTCTTGTGTATGAGCTTTGTTATTGGTTTTCTTTACCAAGGTCTACATTGCTCAAGCATGGATTTTCTGTGTGCCATAGCCTTTTCCTAGCTATTGCAGGGCACACAAGATATGCTTTGTTGTCTCTTCTTTTCAAGCCTTGTTTTAATTTGTAATTAATTTTATGTACAAGTAAAAAGGTCAATGGAAATAAAAATAAGCTTGAACAATTTATTTTAAAAAGTATTCATTTATCCAGAGTTTACAAAGCAGGTAAAACCTTTCCACTGCATTGGCCAAAGCCAACTTTGTATCCTACCCCTTGGCAAAAACCTGAAAAGAGAAAATTAATTTAATACAATTTCATTCTTTATTTGATGAACGAAAGAAATTAATGCCCTTAAACTTTACAGGACTGATTTTAGGATGCTAAAACGCATCCCAGTCATTCTCAAATGCTAAGTGACTTATTTATATGATTTATTTTGCATTTATATCGAAATTGAAAGCATTGCTTACTCCTTTTAAGGTGCACAACTTCCGATCAAAATATGATAGTACATTCCTCAAATATTAAAGTGTTAAACAGAAATAAGTAAATAAAAGAAGAAAAATTTAATTGAAGATTGAATACAATATGGTAAATGGTAGGAAAGGATAAAGGGTTGCGATGGACAGGAACAAAAAGTATATGAATGTAGGATATTCCCAATGAGACAGAAAGATTGTGACACAATACTGTAAAAGTTTGAGAGAGAGGCCATATTATGAACAGAAGAAAATAGTCGTAAGGAAGGGTTTGATCGGTGTCAACCATTTGCTACCGATGTGCCTATAGTGCCCAGCTTTTAAAATACAAAATAATACGAGAATGAAATAAGTCATCACAAGGCAAGAGTAGACTCCAAACCCAAATGAAATAACTCACCACTATTCTCAAAAAGGTTAATGAGCTTACGAACCTTCAATAATAACTTCGTCGCCATCTTGTAAAAACTTTCGAGTCGTTCCATCTTTCAACTGAACTTCTTTTGTGCCTTTCCAGCTCAGTTCAAGCATCGACCCGAAGGAATTATTTTCCTAAAATTGCAAATATGATATCACTGTGTTTATTCTACTCCAACTGGGGCATGTTTTTATTTCAAAAATTTTCTAAAATGAAGTATAATTACAGGCCCACTGATCGTTCCAGAAGCCATTAGATCTCCAGGGTTTACATTACATCCTGTTACAGTGTGATGAGCTAATTGTTGTTTCGGCGTCCAGTACATGTACTTATAATTTGAATTGCAGACAGTTGTTTTAACACCAGTTTTTTCAGCTAAAACAAGTCATTGTTAAAAATAAGTATTTTGAAAAATTATCTTAGTATACTTACGTTTTAAAGAAACCGATAAATTAATATCAAAATTAAAATTATCACTATGGCAAAGATATGGTAATGGTTGAGGATCCTGAACAGTATTTTGGGTCATGAAAGGCTTCAACGCTTCAATTGTCACGACCCATGGTGAAATTGTAGTGCCAAAGCTTTTAGCTAAAAATGGCCCAAGAGGAACATATTCCCATTTCTGTATGTCCCTAGCTAAAATTAACCCACATTAAATAGATGAATGAAATACAAAGAAGCAAATTGTAACAAACCGCTCCAATCATTCATCAGAACTAAACCGAAAATTCTATCTTGGGCTTCGTCTATTTTCACCGGGTGGCCCAGCTTTGTCGGTGGTCCACCTACAAAAAAGGCAACTTCAAGTTCTAAATCTAGAAGAGCGCTGGGTTTAAACTGTGGAGCTGTGCTTCCTTCTGGGAACACCTACAAATAGACAACATTGAAAAAATCTTTTCCATAAAAGCATGTTTGATTATTTACTTGGCCTCGTGGACGGTGAAGATCAGTTCCTGAAACGACAACGGAACTCGCCCTTCCGTGATAACCTACAGGTAAATGTTTCCTAAAACGATAAATCAAAATGTAATGAATATTTTAATGTTATAATCATTTTTTTTACCAATTGGGCATCAAAGCATTTTCTTTGCTTCTAAACATACATCCAACATTAAAAGCATGTGACATTGAAGAATAGAAATCCGTGTAGTCTCCAATTTCTGCAGGCAGATGCATTGTAGCATCCTTCTGGTCTACAAAGCAACTGAAAAGTAAAACTATTTATTGCTAATGGTTTACTTATGTTTATACAACAAAAATGAGCAAATATATATTTATTTAAACTAATTAGTCTTAGTAATGAAAAAAATTATGAACTTTTTTTAATAAACACAAGGAATGCATCATATCATTATACATCCAAAGAATCCAAAGATGTTTAATAGACGTAATGCCTGCCAGAGGTGAAAATACTTAGCATTAAAAGGGACAAAAAAGTCTTAATAAAAATTATGGAGTGAGTGTGGTGTTCAATCCTTTTTAAAAAGATAGTTCCTACTCACAGTAAGTTGTTTTGCAACAATCCGGATTTCAAGCCTTTTAGCTCATCATCAGGTTGAAGGACTTCCACAACCTGATGATGAGCTAAAAGGCTTGAAATCCGGATGGTTGCAAAACAACTTACTGTGAGTAGGAACTATCTTTTTAAAAAGGATTCAAAAAAGCCTTTGTTACTTTTTTATGTTTTTAATTTTCTGCCTTTTGTTTTCTTTACTCAATAATTTTTTATTTTTTTTAGAATTTAAATGTCTTATTTTTAAAATATACCTATTTTCGATACACAAAATATGAATAAACGTAAATATATTCAAATTTAAGGGTGGTGTGTTTATTTTGTTTTACTTTTGTCAGTCTATTTTATTTACTTATTTTTTATGTTTAAAATGTTTATCCAGCAAGATATTAATTAGCATTATTATGCAGCAATTAATAAACTTGCATTATTGGATAATAATTAATTAAAATTTATTTTAATAAGAAGGATGATTTATTATTGCAAAATTCATGATTTTCCCGATTGTTTAATTTATTATATGTGTTTCTTCTATTACTTATTATGTAATAATAGCATTGTATATTCGTCATTATTGTGTGCTTAATTTTCTAGTAGTTATTCTCTTTAAGAATAAATGTAAATAATTATTACTGTATAAAAACATAGGAATTGTACTATAGAAACTGAAATAAACTATTGTTTCCCTTTATTCCATTTGAATTTTTTTTTTTTTTTTTGAGGTGGCTTGTATCAGAATCAGGAATGAAACATGTTAAGGAGTTATATAAGAGTTACCCTTGTTGTCCTTGGAGCTCGGAATCCTTCCTTGACAATAAATCCTGAAGTCGTTCCCTGGCTTCTTTCCAACATTCGTGTCCGAGCGCCATGAAGGCGTTGAGTTTATCCTGAATAAATTTTATTTTATTATTTTTCTTATTATTTTATTTTTCCCTGCCAGTCGGGAGTTTGTATAAATTATGTTTTTTTTTTTACCTGTTGGAAAACATGCTGGTGTTTCGTGAGCCGAGGACCATTGAAAAGATTGCTGACTGTCGAAAGGTCCAAAATCTTGTCTCCTATCGCGACGCCGAGCCTTTTCCTTGGCTGCAGAAAGACAAATTCAATTAAATATATAATTTTAGTTTTATTTGTTAAATATTCGATAAAATTATATCATAGAGAATTGAGAATTTCTGGAACAAATGTAATAATTAATTTACTATCTAAACGAGAAAATTGTATATTAACAAATTTAAAAAAAAAGAAAAAGAAACTATCATTGTTTAACGTCTATTATCTAAAATTCATAAGTAGATTACACAAAAATAAACACAATAAAACAATAGTCTGCCAAGTGGGTGGGCAGTCTAGCTTTCTCACATATTGTGCATGCATATGCGCATATGTTAATTTGTTTGGAAAAAAAATCAAAAGTCACTATGTGAAAACCAACTCGCATAATCTCTGAAAATTTCATAAAAATCGATGTCATGGTTTCAGAGTTTTGCCGTTTACAAGGAATTTACCGCAGACACAAAAAAACAATCCAAAATCAAAATTTTCACTCGCATTTTGCGTTTCAGACCTTTCTGAACAAATCTGGTTCCTTGTCTGTGGTAAATTTCTTGTAAACGGCAAAACTCCAAAACTGTGACATCAATTTTTATGAAATTTTCAGAGATTATGCGAATTGGTTTCCAGATAGTCCCCTATGAATTTTATTCCAAACTGATTAACATATGCACATGCACAAAATGTGTGGGGCTATACTGCCCATCCACTTTGTATTCTTTTTTGTGCATGCGCTCATTATAATTTCTTTAAAAATCTATAAAAAATAAAACAAAAATTTAATAAACTAAGTAAGTACATAACTAAAAGCATAAAACCACTAAGGGTCATAGCTGCCTTAAAACATCCACCAATGCAGTTTCCCCACTGCGTGGGGAGAGGAAGAAGCCCAGAGGGCCAGCCGCATTGCAGAGGGACGAGCACCATAAACAGCATGATGTTATCGCTGAACTAATATTGTTTCTCGGCTCTCCTGAAAGGATGTGCATGGGCTGTGAACGTCCACATCCCTCAAGAGCCAGGGTATTCTTTTTCACCCATACGCAAAGCGCACGACGAAGGTAGCAGAAGGTTCACTAGGATTTCTAAAAATTTTTGTTTGTATACATATGGTGGGGTGTTTTCTTTTTTGAGCTTAGCGAGTTGTAGCTGACAATTAGCTTTTGGTAAGAGCCTGGGAGGAGATGTAGAGATACAGATAGTTTGTAGTGCTGGAATGGTGTTTCTTTTGGCTATTAACACAGTTTTCAAGGGAGATGATGTTTTTATTTAGAAAATAATCATTCAAAGGATGCAGTGGAGATGACATGATTTTAACAAAAAATTTAGTGTCAAGAAACTGTCGCCAGAGATTTTTAAGATAGAACTCCTAAAATGAACATCCAAATTATATATTTTCTAATGGGGATATTTCAGCTATTGGCATTTAAAATTTTGTAAAAAAAACTCTTCGAATAAGACTATTAAATTTACATATTAATCACGAGAGTAAAACACAGAATTCTGACTGAGGGCTTAAAAACAGAGACTTAACTACTTCAACAGAATTAGTTTAATAAACTAAATAAGCTTATAACCAAAACTCTGTTGAGTATAATTTTTAAAAATTTAGGACGTTAAAAAAAATTAAATAAAAAATTGTTTTCCAGTTATGTGTTGTAACAATTAGTTAAAAAGCAAAAAGAAAATAAAAAAGCTACAAAAGAGAGTTAGCTATTATGTCTACATAAAACCAGAGATTTTGTAAGATAAAATTCCAAAAATTTACATACAAGCTGTATATTTTCTACTGGGGACACTTCAGCTTAATTGGCTAGTAAAATTTTGTAAAAAGAGAGAGAGAAAAAAGAAGGAAAAACTACTGTCCCAACAAGACTTTCAAAAATTTAAATATTAACAGCTTATGCGAAACACGTGGACTTCCGACTGAAAGTCATAGAACATTATTAAAAAGTAAGCTTAAAAATTTTCTTTGTACCAATTTTTAAAAAACAACAAGAAAATAAAAAAGCTACAAAAGAGAGTTAACTATTATGTCTACACAAAACCATTTTATAAGATAAAATGCCAAAAATCTTCATCCAAACTATATATTTTCTACTGGGGATACTTCAGCTAATTGGCTAGTAAAATTTTGTAAAAAAAAGAGACAGAGAGAGAGAAAGAAAAAAAAGGAAGAACTACTGTCAATTTAAATATTAACAGCTTATGCAAAACACGTGGACTTCCGAATGAAAGTCATAGAACATTATTAAAAAGTAAGCTTAAAAATTTTCTGATTATGCTTTGTACCAATTGTTAAAAAACAACAATAAAATAAAAAAAGCTACAAAAGAGAGTTAACTATTATGTCTACACAAAACCAAAGATTTTGTAAGATAAAATTCCAAAAATTTACATACAAACTATATATTTTCTACTGGGGATACTTCAGCTAATTGGCTAGTAAAATTTTGTAAAAAAAAAAAAAAAAGGAGAAAGAAAAAAAAAGGAAGAACTACTGTCCCAATAAGACTCAAAAATTTAAATATTAACAGCTTATGCGAAACATGTGGACTTCTGCCTGAAAGTCGTAGAACGTTATTAAAAAATAAGCTTAAAAATTTTCTGATTATGCTTTGTACCAATTGTTAAAAAACAACAAGAAAAGAAAAAAAAATACAAAACAGAGATAACATTACATATATTTTCACAAAACCAAACAGAGAAGTTTTTATTATACAAAAAGAACAAAAATCTTCATTTAAAAGTATACATTATCTGCTAGGAATATTTCAGCTCATTGGTTCGTAAAATTTTGAAGGAAAAAATTAATTAATTAAAAAACCCTATCCTTGCAACTGCACTTTTATAAATTTACATTTAATAACCTGTACGAAACACGTGGAATTCCGACTTAAAGCCTTAAAAATAGGGACTTAACTATTTTATGTTTATAATTCTGTGTATAATTTATAATCCTTCTTAGGTATAGCTGCTTTAGCAATAAACAACGTTATAATTTAGTTATAAATTATAAAACCTATTTGTACCCTTTTTTTCTTTATGACCAAAAAAATACATTCATATACTAAGTTAAGTGTACTAAGCATAATTATAAGTAAATTCAGTTAGTTATTTATAACAGGAAGTTTTATTAGATATATGAAGGTGTATACGAACATTTTATTTTTAATCCATACATGTATTTAGTAATCATAATTGGCCGTATTAATTATTTCAATTATTTATTCTTTTTTATCTAAGGTCGTGGGTTCAAATCCCGCTCGTGGCACTTCATTTTTTCATCTTAGATAGAAAGAAAAATAATTTTCATCTTTATTTTATTTTAAATTTATTTATTTATTTTTTAAGAGGGTTCGCAACAGCAGAGGACATACCAACCATCAGGGTGTCGGTGTGTAAAAAAAATTAATTAAATAAAATTAAAATAAATAAATAATTATATAAAAATAAAATAAATAAAAAAATTTAAAAATAAAAGACTACATTGAGAAAATAAAGTAAAAAAACACTTGTAAGTACGTCGGGCTCGAATAGCAGGGTCGCTGGATTCGAACACAGGACCTTCACCTTGTTGATGAGCGCCCTTAACCGTTGCTGCCACCAACGACCCCGGCATATACGAACATAATTGAAAAAAAATATGCTTGTTGTTATATGTTTATTATATGAATGTTAGAATAATTAATTAAACTTATAAAATAATATATTTAAATTTAACAATTTGTTGAAGTAGTGAGGAGTGGTTTAAATTTAACGTTTCTTAAAACATGCCTTAATTGCACATAACTAAATACGTATGCCAATAAAAATATATAATAATAAAAAAGTATCATTTGTGTATTTAATTGTAATTTTAAAAAATATAATTCAACTATTTAGTTATTCTCCACAGTTCTGTAAACAACAAGAGATTTGACAAGAATATCGATAAATTTGTCTAAGTCGTCACGAGTCATTTAGAATGAAAAAGTCAAAAAGGGGGAATTTTTCTTGTGTTTAGTTAATTTAGACGAGTCATTGTTGTTTTGTTTTACAGATGTTGCACGTCCGTTATGTGTTATGACTTACGTTCGAGGCCGTGGAGAAGACTCCATAAGGGAGATTTTCAATGGGAAAATCAGTATCCGACGAATAACCAACGATGCATTCCATTTCTGAAATACTTATGCGACCGAGGAACCAAACCGACGAACGATCTGATAAAAGGAAAAAAAATATTATTCGGTCCCCTCCTTTCCCACCAACACTCAAGGTCTTCCATATGCAGTCATTCTAGTTTTTAAAAGATTTTATTTAAAAAATAAAAAAGAATTAACCTAAACCCACCCCTTGCTACTTACTAACTACTTACTCTTCCATCACTATCTAATGCATTTGAGTTTTATTGACTCCCATGCGCTTATTTCTCCTTTTTAATCAGGCTTCCAAAAATTTAATATTTGTGAGACAGCCTGATGATAATCAGTGTGCTCACTGATTGATAAAATTAACACATTACCTTTAAATTTTAATGTATTTTTGATGTAAAAAAAAAATTAGGTCCGTTTTAATACCAAGTATTTTCACCTCTGGCAGGCAATGTCTATTAAACACCTTTGTAATCCTTGGAAAAAATTACTGGTGAAATCCTGAGGAATTATTTTCCATCCGCCAAGAACTGCCATTTTCACCTTATGGAGGCTGCTAGGACCTGGGTTTTGTCATCATGCCCATCGCTTAAGCTAGTCCCAAGTGTGTTCTATTGGGTTCAAATTTGGATCTCGAGCTGACCACACCAAGCGCTCAATTCCAACCTCATTTAGGTAGTCATCCGCAATAAGTGCTTTTTGGGGCCTGGCATTATCCATCATTAGCAAGAATCTCCTCATGAAAGGAATGACTTATGATGAACAGAAGTATCGACATGACTGTCAAAAGCTTGACTTGTTCATACATCAGTTCTGAAAGTTCTCACAACCGAGTTTGTTGAAAAACAAAAATTAAATATGAGAGAATTAATAATAATAAATATAAATGTGAGAATACGCTTTTAAAGATTCTTAAGTTGTTGCTTTTTATTTAAAAATCATCAAATAAAAATGTATTTTTAAAATGTAACCCAGAGAATATTTTAGTGAAGTATTACATTCGATGTTACTTTGATTTCATTATTCCACAAAATTAGAAATATGTTTAGAATAGAATGTATATTGAGATTTTTCTATGGAGTCTGTTGGGTGTAGATTTGTACTTCTAGTTTGGTCTGCCAACCACTCTTATTTTCAAGATTAGTCGAGACCTTAGACGAAAAGTATAATTAATATGGTCAATTATGACTACTAAATACATTATATATATACTATGTTCTTTAATTATGTAAGTGCTTCTCTGAAGTTAGAGATCTTCCTTGCACAATAACTAAATCAGTGCGGGCGTCCAAGGAAATACCAATCCAGAACATCAAGACCCACCATGGAATGCCACCGGAGGAACCGTACAACATGGAGCGTCTCCATATGAAATTACACCCACCTGAAGATTTGAGGCCAACTCTCATCTCATTAGTAAAGAGGACTCATCTCCTATACTTCATATATCTTATTTACAAGTTCCGGTGCAAATTGAAGCCTGGCCATTTTCTGAGCTGTGGTATGACCACCTAAGAGGTGCTCAGAGGTTTTAGCTACCAAGGCTCTGAGGTTATTTTCATTGAGCATTCTTTTTACATTCCTGCAGGAATTTGAAACATTTCAGACTTGTCTCATCAACACAATTCTGTGGTTTTGTAGAGCCTGATGATGAATATGAATGGCTAATAGAAAGCCTGGTAGTGGCTCTCAGCACATTACGACACTAAGAAAGGATAGAAATATTGTCATTGCTGCAAAACAAAACCTTTTCCATCCGCCGGATCCTAAATGAAGTAAAAGTTGTTTTGGCAAGGCCTTTATCAACACAAACGATTCGTAATCATTTGTGGAAAGTTGGTGTCACATCATATGCTCTTTTGAGACAAACTGCAGCAACTCAGAAGAATATGGTGCCCAGAATAGAACACCAATTGGAATGCTGTTATGTCTACTGATGAGTCACGTTTCCGTCAGTATAGTGACAGCAGGCACCAAAGAGTTTACCAAGAACAAAGGATGTGTACAACACCGCACTTTGTGCTCCCTTCAGTACAGTTTGGACGAGGCGGTTAATGGTCTGGGCTGCGATTTACACTAGAGGACGAACTGGAATATGTTGAAGGCAACCTTTCTGTAGTCTGTTATGACCAAGAAATTGTCAAGGATACATCTCTCAAACCAGGGATTTTTGATTTCTGGATGACAGTGCCAAACCTCCTAGAGTCAGAGTTGTTCACGAATGTTTTGAAAACCTGGGAATTTCCTATTTGCCATTTCTCCCTTTGTCTCCAGACCTCAATCCCATTGAACACATGTGGGATACGTTGCATAGAAAGCTTTACATTCACCATCCGCAGCCAGTTGACCTGCCATTCCTTATGAAATTAGAGACAACCTTATTAACATTATAACTAAGAGGTGCTCAGAAGTTTTAGCTACCAAATGACATTATACACAGTCAATTAATTAAGGTTTTTAAGTTGAGATAAAAAAGTCAGTGTCACGAGCGGGATTCGAACCCAAGACCTTAATTGATCAAGCGGACCACGAAAAATAGTGAATTATACACAGTATTAATTATTTTAAAAAATTATTGTGTCCAATAAACAAAACCATGGAATTAAAATGTTTTAATTAGTCCATTATGCCCAAGAAATTATCAAGGAATACATCCCTCAAACCAGGGATCTCATCAACAGGAATTTTCATGATGAGATGCCAGACCTCATAGAGGCATAGTTGTTCATCAATATTCAGAAAAACGGAATTTACCATCTGCCCCTTTTTCAGACCTCACATTGAGCATATGAGTGATGCTTTGCAGAGAAGGCTTTACGATCACCATCCGCAGCCAGTTGACCTGTAGTTCTTTATGAAATTAGTGACAACCTTACTAACATTATTCCTAAGAGGTGGTCAGAGGTTTAGATACCAGAGGACATTACACACGGTATTAATCTTTTAAAAAAATTATTGTGTCCAATAAACTAAATTATAGAATTAAATTATTTTTTAAAATCCTTTAATTAAATTTTCCTTCAGTAAAAAACAGTTTCTTATACATTTTAATGCAATTTATAATAAAAATACTACAAAAAGTAAATACTATAAAATTGGCAATATCCTTATTAATTTTTTGCAGTTTTTTTTTTTTTTATTTGATAAGGTGAACCATGGTCTACTTTTTAAAAGTAGCAGTTTTATACATTCGCTGGTATCCTCTTCAATCTTTTCAACAACGACATTGCCAAAAAAAAAAATTTCAAAGCTAAATAATGAGTTATTACGACTTACCGTTGATGTTTTATGATATAAAACGTTAATGTTAAATTTTTAAAAATAAGGCGTAAGTTGGAAGCGTTTTTTCGCTTGGGAGGGGGAACACAAATGGCTGACGGGCTTGGTCTTCTAGCGGATTTCTCGCGCACTACGAGAACCGCACTCGGCTCGAGCTTTACCGTTCACTTTTCCCTCAGACTCGGAGTTAGTTGTGTGCGTTTTACACGTGTTAATTTTTAATCCAGAAACGATTTTACAGAAGCGGCTCGATATCCGAGTTGTAGAAAAAATCGTAATTTAACTCATCTCCGAGAGGGATTTCGTTGGCCGCCTATCGCCTCCAACGTCTCGAGCCGATCACGGAATTCCAAGGTTCGTTTTGGCGGTACATTCTCTTCTTACCGAGGTTAGTATTTAACTCTAGTTTATTTTCCAATATATTTATGAGATTCATATTTACTAAATAGATACTATTTCCTTTTTGAATATACATCAATAATCGGCTTTGTATTGGTTTTTTCCAATAAGATAAAAATCGGCTTGTTTCTATTGAAGTTGGCTATAAACAGTTAACCTAAGACAGACAAGCCATAACTTAAGTTTACCTATTTAAAATCAAATAAAATAACTCGCATAATTCATTATTTTAAAATAATTCCGTCTTTTTCACTCATGGCTTTGCTTGCCGGCACCACACCCACAAGCCGAAAGTTACAAATTGCCGATAACGCTTGTATTACTTGCGACGCCGGACGCTTTTTTCTCCTTTCTTTTTTTCTTTTAAATTGTAAATTTTCATTTTACAACTTGAAGTTTCTCCGATCAGCTTAACTATATTAGTTTTTTTAGAACGTTTCAAAGAACGATATGAAACTTAAAAAAAACGCCATATTTTAAAATTTTGAACAAATCGAATCACCAGTTTCAAAATTCTCTTTCAGATTTTTTCATAAGTTGATGAACATATTGTGTCGAATATCAGAAATGATAGTGTCTGTTTAGTTGTAACAGATAAGATATAACCAATTAGGGCATGGATTGTCCTTGAATGCACAAAAACGCCCTTTAAACAGAAAAAACTCAGCTTAACATCAATACTTGTTAAACAAAAATTTAAACTGTTAAATTAAACATACACGGATTAAATACCATGTCTAAAGCTGCAAATTGGATAATTGGTTATGGAGCTAACACTCGGTTATGACTTTTTTCCTTATTGAAAAATTAACGTTTGTCTTTGCCAATGTTTGCTTCTTTTGGTGTGGCTCTCTCGCTATCAAAGTTCTCCCATACCTCATAATGGTGTACTGTGTCACTATTGATTGGTATGGTCAACGGCCAGAATCGTCGGACGACTTTTCAGCTTCGCTCCTTACGTGAGGGCATCAAAGCGATTAGGGAAAGTGTGAGGAGCATTCTCACAAGCTTTTTTTAGTAAGCTTATGTATGCACACTTTCACTAAACCAGCTTCTTGAAAGAAATATATATGTTGTTCCCTGAGGATTTCCTTAACACCCTATAGATCCTTGCCTTGGGGTCTGCTGCTCGATCCAATGAGCAAATACAAAAATCTTCAAACTACACAGATCATATACCATACGTAAATCTGCTAATTGGATAATCGGTTAGATAGCGATCACTTAAAAAATGTATAATTTAAATAAAATTAACCTCTTCCTGTCCACTTTTTTTGGCTTGAGTCTATTTTGGTGTACCATTATGACTTGCCCAGGGTATGTTACTATTGATTGGTATCCCCTAAGGGTAGAATGGCAGATGAGTTGCTGAAAAGCTTCGCTCTCTATATGTCCATGCTGTGGTCAGGGAGGACTTCAAATGGTTAAGGAGGAGCATTCTCACAACATGTTTAGTCTTTTTTAGTAAGCTTAGGTAGGTACCATCGTGCTACACTAGCTGCTTGAAAGAAACGTTTCTATTATTACATGAGGCCTTACATTACACCCTGTAATTCCTTGCATTGAGGTCTGCTGCTCGATCCAATGAGCAAATAAAAAAACATTCAAACTGATAAATTAAACCTACATGGATCAAAAACCATGTCTAAAGCTGCAAATTGGATAATTGATTATCAGACTAGAACTCAAATCAAATGACTAAAGATTCAGATTTACAACATTGCGTATGTTGCTTATCATTTTGATCTACCTTATCCTTGCGGATTTTGCCGGATCAGGCTCATTTTAACATCTCGCCATCTTTAGTCAGATGAATTGAAACTCAGTGGAAGAGGACATCAGATCATAGGTTCGTCACACAGATCATAGGAGGAAAATTGCATATGCTATTCCGAAGCGATTTTGATTATACTTGGTTTTTTTCCTAGTTTACATTTAATAAAAATTATGAGGGTTTTTTTGTCCAAAGTAATCATTTCTTTTGTGTAAACACTTTTGCATCAGTTCGAGGAGCTGCAACATGGCTTGAAATTCATTTGCGTTAAAAGGAAAAGAGAAAAATATTGCTGATTACTTCAAATAAACCACATAGTTAGCAATAGAGCAGTCAACAAGTACAACTAAGACTACAAAGATATATTTGGTAAAACTCTTATGTACACTGTCACGTGTGTTTACATAGCTCTCATTGAGGCATCTTGGTTATTCCAGTAAATTAAAATTGAAACAGGATTAAGAAACATTCTTAACTTAAATGTTTATTAAATTGATTTACTATTCTGTTCTGTAAAACGTGTTTTTCCTTCACTGCAGTGAATCATTGTATAAACAAAATTAGTCCATTGTTACACTCTGTGTTTGTTTGGCATACTTATAGTGAAAATGATGCTGATGTGTGGAATTTTAGAAATATTGGGGTGTTATTAGAAGGTAAATTTCTTATTGGTCCTGTAAAATGCACTCATCGACTGAACCAAGTTGTGAATCATACGAGAAAGTGAAAGGTGTATTTTAAAAAGTGTGTTCTATTATTTTAATTAATATTATTATTATATCTATTATTTTAAGTTCTATTCAGTATATCTAAACTTATGTAAATGGTTTTTTTGGTTAGAAAAAAAAATTAGTTTGGACTAGGTGCTCCAAAAAAAATTCAAAATTTTACTTTGTCTTGCTCTTTTAGACTAGTATTTCTTCTGAATGTGTGAAAGCTTTTTACCTTTAAAGTTTTATTTTACTGGTGGCTTGATAATAAACCGACAATTGGATGGCATATGTGGTTTGGTAATAAACAATCGATTATTAAATTCACATAGTCCGATGGTACAGTTAAAACAATTTATTTAATCACTACACAGAAAAAATATGAACTTTTCCTTCATAAAAGGGTGTGATTTTTGGCATGATATGAAGGATGTATTGATATAATTCAAGGGAAGAAAAATACCATGGCAACAAAATCAACACCGAAGTTTGATGAGGTATCTTTTTGATCATATTCTTTTTAATTGAACTTTATATTTAACTCTTATTTGTGATATTTTAATGTTATGATAATATTCTCAATAGTGATAACATTGATTTCTAGAAGTTGCTTTATATTAAGTTTTCTAGGCTGATTTCTCTACTTTTTAAGAATAAAAAGTATACTTTGTTAAGATGTGTAGTTGATATATTTGTGTGATTTCAGATTTCAAGATGAAACGCAATTCTGATATGTCAGGACCAAGGAGTCAAAAAAGGATGAGAATGAGTGATGTGCAAGCCGTCATGAGGCTGTTGATCCCAAGCAAAGTGGCAGGATCCATTATTGGTAAAGGAGGTAACAACATCAATCGGTTGAGAACGGATTTTAATGCCGTTGTTCAAGTCCCGGATTGTTCGGGTCCTGAAAGAGTCGTCTCGATATCTGGCACTGACCAAGATACTGCCGTTAAAATTGTCGAACAGATTGTCCCTTGTCTGGAAGAATTCTTCAGTTCCGGAAAAGGCGAGGTAGACATTAGGCTTTTAGTTCACCAAAGTTTGGCCGGTTGTGTCATAGGTAAAGGGGGGAGCAAAGTGAAAGAACTCAGAGAAAAGACATCGGCTAAGATCAAGATTTTTGGAAATTGCTGCCCCCAAAGCACAGATAGAGTAGTGTCCATTGTCGGTCAGCCCCAAGTAGCGGTCAACGGTCTGAAAGAAATTGTAGAACTCTTAAAGGACACTCCAATGAAAGGATACACTGAACCCTACGACCCACAGAATTTTGATGAAGAATATTCCGAAGAGTATGGAGGATTCGGTATTCCCGGAGGACCAAGGGGACCTGTCTGGGAACCTCCTCGTGGAGGAAATTTAGGAGGAATGGGTAATTACGGCCCTCCCATGTCCCGTGGTGGATATAACGACAGAAACTTCCAAAGAGACATCCCACAAGACTGTTCAGAACAGCTCACCATTCCCAAGGACCTTGCTGGAGCTATTATAGGGAAGGGTGGAAATAGGATAAGACGTGTCAGATCCGAGTCTGGAGCCGATATTACAATTGGCGAGCCCCTTCCTGGTTCCGATGACAGAGTAATCACAATTAAGGGTACCAGAGATCAGATTCAACTTGCCCAACACCTTCTTGAGCAGGCAGTCCGCCAAAGTCAGTCTCGTTATTAATCTTGTCTGATTTAAAAAACACTTCTCACTATTTCTTTTGTTTTTTTTTTTTCTTTTTATAGAGAAGTCCAATTATTTTTATTTTGATTTGTTTGATTTTGTCCATATATAAAAAGCCTTAAAAAGCAATAAAAACATCCTTAATTTTTTGTCCTAAAAATTAACAACCTGAAAGCCCCCACCAATTCATTATAAATAAATTATTATAAATAAAACTTTTGGCAAATAGCTTTTTCCCTCAAATTGCATTTGTTTTCTGACACCATAAAACACCTTTCATTTCATAAGATTGTTTTCTTTTCTTTTTTCTTTTTTTTTCAGGGGGAATTATCACTAGTTTTTAATAAACATGCTAGGGTAGTGATTGTTTCTATTTAAAGGCACATTGTACAAATTTTTTCCATTCATTTCATATTCAATTACCAATTAAGTAGGTCCTGTAGAACATCGATTATCCAAGATCGATTTTTTTTTTTTTTTAATTTATAAAAATGGACATCATTTTTATAATAACAAGAAAAAATGTAAACCAAATACATATATAGTTTAAATATAGTATTTTATATTCATAAAAACTCTTTGATTTCACTGAACAAAAAAAAACCCACTTACTCTTTATTTGACTGGATTGAAATTTCATTTATCATTGACATTTCTTTCAGTGTTCAAAAATAAACAATAAACTGCACGTTTTAGAGTGATACACTAATCGCTTTTGTTTTATAGTTTTGTTTTTATTTTCCCAGACATTTTTGCACTGAATCACCACTTGATTATTTTATTAAACATGTTCTTAAAAGCATTTTTAGCATGCCCATACAAATGTTAAGTCCACTTGCCTCTGACCTGAATTTCAGAAGCCCACAAGGTATAACACATCCCAAACAAATTGGCGATTTCAAGTAAATGGAGTTTCACCTGACTTTCCGTTATGGGGGGAAGACTAATTAATCAATAAAATTTCTTTTGTAACAATTTTCAAAAAAGTTGACTATACTCTGCCTAATTGACTAGAGGCTTTATTTAATTTTATACAATTCAATTACCATTGTAAATAAGGGGAAGACTTGATAAAAAGTAGAACTATCCTGTATTTATTTTATTTATTTATTTTTTTAAACAATCTTATAATTGTTCAATTTTATGGTTCTAAACAATATTTTCCTTGGTTTTGCTAACCTTGGATAATCGGAGTTCTACTACGTCTTCAATGAGTTACGTATTCTCTAATTTTTATTTCAAAGCAGACTTGACAAGTGACTCGTAAATTTGATCAATTTCCTCTTCATAGAATACATTGCTTGAAATTTTATTTTGACTGGGGTAAAAATTTGCGAGCCACTGTTTGTTATTTCCCATATTATTATTATGTTTATTTTAATTATTTTGTCAAGAGTAGTTTTAGTTTATAAAATTTTCCAAGGATAAGAGATTAAATTTGTTCATTGAAGCACTCCTCCAATTATCCATGTATGAAATGTAATATTGTAAAAACCTCCTGAGGAGCAATTTAGCATTTCTAGTTGTTTGGAGCCCTTTAAACAGAGGACTTTCTCTCAATTCTAATTATTTATTTTTTGTTTTACCTTGAAATTATGACCATATCTTAATTAAATGCCCCATTGTAGATTGTGAATCATTCATCTATCCTCACCTAAACGAAAATTATTGTTTAACCAATTATGGAAATGCTTGAAATCAAGCTGATATGTGTTAACCGACCAAAACGCCAAATGTCTAAAAGTTAAGTTTGTTAAGCCCTATTTATTTTGATTTATCAGCATAAATGTTTTTGAAAACCCATAGAAGTTCCAGCCCAGGTAAAACTATTTTTAAATTTACAAAAACAAATTCCAAAATTTTCTAAAAGGTAGAAGAAAATACCTTTTAGCCCAGGTAAACCATCCTCCCAGGGGAAATAGTCCAGCAGCCCAGTATTTCAAGCCCAAAGAGGAATAAGGTAAAAACAAAAGTTCCAGAAATATTTGAACAAATAAATTTAAAAAAAAAAACCATCAATCATTGTCCAGACCCGAAGCCCTCCAAGCCTTGAAGATGTCATCCAAAAGGTAATTCACTGAATAGCCTTTAAAACGGTTCCTACCACCGAAACTGTAGGTATCATGTATTATTTTAATTGCACCCTTATTCAGACAAGCAAACTTCGCTTACTGAATTACTAAGGGGGTTTGAGTGGACAAGTATACAATAGAAATTGGGAATCCAATCGAGATATTCCTCAAAAAATTTGCATTTAGGCCAGATGAAACCTTGAAACTCATGGCTTCTGCTCTGCTCTTGCTCTCATGCAAGTCCAAATGTTTAGTCTACAATTTGGACCCTTTAAAAAAAAATAAAAATTTTAAAAACTACTGCCTGCTTTTCAACTAAACCATTTGCATTGTTCTACCTATCGGTGGTCGTATTAATACTTTTATCCCCTTATGTTCTGCGAATAAAATCAATTCTTGGTTTCTTATCTTTATTACCCTCGTTCCCCCTTGCTCTGAAAGCGCTTAACGATCAATTTATTATTGCTGCATCAGTAGAATGATAAGTTTTGTTTTATCACGATTTATACCGGCTAGGAAAACTTCCTTTTGTTTATCTTTTTATGTTATGTGGTCTGATTGAGTTGTTCAGTGCAGTCAAATAATTATTCAAAATTTAATTGCGAATTTGTAGTCAAACATTTATTATTTTTAAATATATTTAGATGTTCTACATTTATAAAACATCTGTTTAGGCTGCTTAGTATCAAAAGATTTTGCATTCAATGAAATCCTTACGAGGATTAAACATATTTTAATTATGTATTTTAACATATTAACATTGAAATAATTTTCATATATTGTATTTTTTCAAATTAAATAAAATCTGTATGTTGTCTAAAAAGTGCTTGTTAAAATAATACAGGTTGTGCATATCACGTTTGGCCCTTAATGGCTTATTTTTTTCAAACAAGCTTTTCAATTGTCATTCGGTACATGCTGTATTTTTGCCACTACCATTTATACCCTGCCCCCTTCTAGGGTGATTCTAAAGCCTTGCTGACTACCTCGCTTATCAATTTATTGATTAATATCAAGTTAATTTTAATATGGTGTTAAGTGCATGGACAAGGAAAATGGCAAAAAAAAGAACACGATATGATTTTATAACTTGTGTTCCAAAGGAATTTTTAGAGGTCTTCTAAAAAATGTATTTTTGAGTTGAATTCAAATAATTAGTTATTTATTGTAGTAGAGCCTTAATTTTTATATCAGGTCATCAATGTTTTCATGTTTTTGCAGATTTTCTTCAAGCAGTTTCAGATTTTGTAGGCACTTCATTCGGATTAGAAAAATCAGTTATAATATAGAGAAAGGAAACATGAGGACAGCTTTCTGTTTAGTAAAACATTTGTCATTGTTGTATAGCAGGACAATTTTAGTAAGGCAATAAAAAAATTAAAAAAATACATTTGTATAAAAAAAAGTAGGCTGTTTTGGTGGAGCAATGCATTTTTCAGACGTTTGAGATGGCGGTGAGTACTAAATGTTGAGATACTTAAGCTATAATTGAATAAATCAGTTTGCAGGCAGTTTTTTCAGGCTCTTGCGGCCCACTGAGCAGAAGGGCCGAGCGGAAGCAGTAAAATTTGTAATTTTGAGGGAAGTGAGTTTTTCAAAAGTGGTGAATTTATGGAGCAAACTGGGTAAAAAATAAATAAACAGAAAAAAAATAATATTCCATGGTGTAAGCAAACAGGAAGAAAAATTTGGTGGAGGGCAACAGTAGATATCTAACATCTGGAATTAATTGACATACTAAATTATTTATTCTTAAAGATGTATAAAGAGGGTTACGATAAGCTTAAACTTACATGCATGCAATATAGTTGTTCTATTATAAGGTAAGTGTCTGTGTATAATAGAAATGTACAGGTGATAAAAGTCATACAGAATTGATTAAATAAACTGAATATTTGACTTACAGGTTTTTTTTGAACGAATCATTTAATTTCTATTGATAAAGAAACTTTCATAACATGAGAGGTGATCTGACAATTTAAAAAAAGTATTACTGATTGTACATTTCACTAATGTTTAGATACTGAAACAAAAAGTTATGAACATTTGGATAACTAGCAGAACCAAAAGCTAATGAATAATTAAACTGATCTTACGATCACGTCAACAGCAGTATATTTGATTAAATAAAAGTAATTTTTAAAATATGAGGGGAAATAAGTTATCAAGTTCTGTTTTTGGTGGGTATTTCCTTCAAGTGCAATTATGATATTTATTTGGGGTACCAGGTAAATCGGTTAAAAACTCAGTTTTATTCCCATCACATGAAAGTATGAAAAGATTCTTCTTAAAAGAATGTTACCAAAAATCAAACTTATCTAACCTTCCTTCTACCAGATTAGTTCAGCGTTTATTTACCACAGTCCAACAAGTGTAGCATTGGGACTCCTGCACAAATAGATGTCCTTCCAAATATTCCTCTACCCTTGTCTGTCAGAACAGTTCATGAGGTACTGGCGAGGATCATCTTGGCCCTAGAAATATTACAAGGCTTATTTAGATCAACATTTCATATCGCAAATCGCTTCACCAATGGCAGAGCATCCTCTGGCCCCTTTAACTTATTTTGGAGGATGTGCAGAGACATATCTCATATATAGCAGATTGGTATTGACAATGGAAAATGAAGCCCAATAAAAGCAAGTATGTCCATGTTACATACTTTGAAGCAAATCTACAACAATGTTCTACCCCTTAGAGTAGTTCTAATCAGCATACATGACAAACAAAAAGGCTTAAATAGACATAGAGTATGTAACTAGGGAACCCCTTTACCCAGCAGTCTTTGGTTTCATTCCCACTATCGTCTCTAAATTTTCTGACCTGTAAGTGAAGCAAAAAGTTGACACTTGGCCATCGAATCTCGACGCCCCTGAATCAAAACGGGTTTCTCAAGGAAGAATACAGTCTCTGAAATACATCTAGGAAGTGGATACAATAAGCATGGTACAGGCTGCAGTACCCCAGGGTTCCACTTCCGATTTCTAGAAATCTATTCCCTCTAAAAAAAATCTTCAAATATCAAAAGTTTGTCCATGAGAGTATGTAACTAGGGAACCCCTTTACCCAGCAGTCATTGGTTTCATTCCCACTATCGTCTCTAGATTTTCTGACCTGTAAGTGAAGCAAAAAGTTGACACTCTTGGGCAAGTCGAATCTCGACGACCCTGAATTGGTGCTTGAGACCTCTTTGAAAACGGGTTTCTTAAGGAAGTCTCTGAAATATATCTAGGAAGTGGATACAATAAGCATGGTACAGGCTGCAGTACCCCAGGGTTCCACTTCAGATTTCTAGAAATCTATTCCCTCTAAAAAAAATCTTCAAATATCAAAAGTTTGTCCATGAGAGTATGTAACTAGGGAACCCCTTTACCCAGCAGTCATTGGTTTCTTACCCACTATCGTCTCTAGATTTTCTGACCTGTAAGTGAAGCAAAAAGTTGACACTTGGGCAAGTCTAGTCTCGACGATCCTGAATCAGTGCTTGAAACCTCTTTGAAAACCGGTTTCTTAAGGAAGAACTGTATCTGAAATATATCTAGGAAGTGGATACAATAGGCATAGTACAGGCTGCAGTACCCCAGGGTTCCACTTCCGATTTCTAGAAATCTATTCCCTCTAAAAATATTCAAATATCAAAAGTTCAACGACCTTAAAATCTTGCTCATATCTGAGTTAAACTAGTGAAATAAAGTGCACTGGGACTGGGACATTTGTTCCCTCAAAGCAAAAACAGTATGTAAATATTTGTAAATATGTATTTATCCTCTAGTTGAAATTTTAAATTGCAGGTGAAAATATTTACGATAAAAATATCTCATAAGCATTAAATCTTAAGAGAAAATTGGCTTTATTTTTGGCTAAAAAAATCTATATTATTGATGAATTTCAGTAATACCTAGCATATATAGTATTAAATGTTTATATATATGCTTATATAAAATATAACATCTTATTGATGTTTAATGAAAGTTTTAAAATTATTTAGCCCAGTCTTATGGATGATAACCTGTATCATGATCATTTCCATTCATCCAGGTCTGCCGTTCAAGTTTTATGTCAGATATGTTTCAGAGACGATAAGCAGACCAATGACAATAAATTATTCTAGTATTGAAACAATGTTCCAACGAGAATATTGTTTAAGCTTAATAATGTCACACAAACAAAAACTTTGCAAACAAAAAATATAATTTTTTGGGTTTGGCTTAGTTGTTCAAACAGCATGAAAATTTTTGCACAGTAGTTTTTTTATTGCTTTAGATTCTTTTTTTTTTCTTTTTTTTCATTTTTATAATTATGATTTAAAAAATCTAATCGAGTAGTTAGAACATTATTCTTATTTATATTTATACATTTATCATAATAAATTTTATTTTTTATAGTACATGTGTATTATTCTGTCTGCTTAAAAATCCCAGTTGCAACTCAATAGTATTAAACTTGAGAATGATTAGAGTGGTTTGATGGTGAATATCCATTCATCCATTCGGCTCTCCTTCGGTGGAAGTATCTCGGATTCGAACATTCAGCCTCTTGGCAAAAAATTTGCATTATATCCGCTCGAACAGCCATCTGACGAAAATGTGGTATTCGTTTTAAAAAAGGGTGTAGGCTCTTCAAAAACTGCATTTCACTGTCATCCTCTATATATTCTTTGTACATTTTCAGCCTCTCTTCCTTGTCGAAATCAGATACATCCCTCAGCCGCTTGACTACCTTCTTTGGAGGCGAGTTGGAAACACGCTGAGAGGTCGACGGCTGATCGTTTTCTGTCGTACAATCGAGTACAGGCTCAGAGTCTGACTCGTTAGCATCACCTTCGTCAACTTCAGGCGGAACACTACCTCTCGAGTCTCTAGTTGTCATTGTATCTTTTAAGAAAAGCATGATTTTGTAGTACGGCCATTTAGGGATGTACTCTTCTTGATCACCGGATTTACTAGCAATAGCTTTTTTACATTCTCTTCTGAATATATCTCGTAGACCTCTCCATTTCTTCTTAAGTTCTTCAACTGAAAAAAATGGAAATGCCATCAGTGGGTTTTACTTAATTATTTGTATGTTAAAATACGCACCCTTGTTATTTGTTTCTTCTGCAACTTCATTCCAAAAACGTCGTTGAATATCTCTAGAATGGTAATGTTCACTTTTATGGTTCCACAAACATTCTCTTTCTTGGATTAAAAGGATTAATTTTTCTGCGTCCATAATGACTTAAGAAAAAGTCGATCAACTGAAATACTTCATCATAAAAAGGCACTTAGGTCGTATAAGAAAAACCAAGTACGAGCGTGCTCGAGTCGCAGGTCTCAACAAAACGCACGTAGTCGGACGATTAAGCTTCCACTTTCCGGTGGGAGAGCGCTGGTTACATTCCCTAGGACGGGAAAGTTCATGCGTCGTTGTGCGATAACGTACGATCGAAAGTCGTACGTTGCCGGTTCCGGTGTAAAACCAGCAAGCAATTTTTTCGAAATTGTTGAACGTTATTTCATCACTTGACAAGATCACGTATACCCCTGGGCCATTACAGTCCGTACTACGATTTTTAAATTAGTTTATTATTAATTTTATTTAAATTTTTATACAGACGATTAAGAAGACAAATTACTGTCGCGAGCATGACGAACCCACGGCCTTTGGCGCCGGTTCTCTCACGATAGTTCAAGTGGATAGAACACCGGCGTAAGCCGAAGGTCGTGGGTTCGAGTCCCGCTCCTGACTCCAAGTTTTCTTCTTTACCGTCTTTGCACATTACGATTTTGACAAAAAAAAGTAGTGTTGTCTGAAGGCAGAACTGGGAGATTAGCCCTTTTTTTCTACTTAACATCGTTATTAATATTTTATATTATTGTTGATGCAAACTTAAGAAACATAAAAGAATTCAAGAACAGTCTGTTCAGTCTCTTCAAATATTGTATAAATAAGGGATTTAAAAATTTAAAAACTATGACTGGAATCAAATTAATTATTAGTAAGTTACACTCGATTAATTCTTTTTTTCCCTTTATTTTCTACCATGATATGGATAAATCAGCCTATACCCTATCTTTACCGAAATGGCGTTTTACCATTTTACAAATACTACTGAAGGCAACCGAAGCTTTAATATATGGAAGAAGAAAAAATGAGATGTTTTTATTTAAAAAAAAAAAAAAGGAAAATTATTTGCAAGAGATAAGACATTCCCACGATCGATTTTTTAGACCGCAGTGGATGTAATGGAGAATTTGGTCACCAGGGACCCCGAAACAAATAAAGAAGAAGAAAAATAAAAATTAGAACATTGAATTTCAAAATAAATTTGTAAATTTTTGGTCGTCAACAAGGTGTTTTTTTTCATACATGTGGAGTAACTACAAGATAAAATACACCAACAGTTAAATACACCGATAGCCAAATTTAAGGCACAAAAAAGTCATGTTTTACAACCAGATCTATTGGTGTGCAAAATATGAATAAACTAAATACATTAAAATTTAAGGGTGGTGCGTTAATTTTGTCCAATGTATAAGCACCAGTAAATTAGCAACTACGTAAGTTATTCAAATTATTTACTGATCAACACGCCCCCTCCCTAAATTAGGTTTTTTTAAGCTGTGCTTTTGGGTAATTCTTTTATTTGCTATTTAGTGCATTTTTAAGTTGATTCTGTTTTGAAACCATTGAACTTTAAATATTAATTTTCTAATAATGAATTTGGTTGAGATGTTTATTAAAGGCTGAAAACAGTATTCGTCATATATTTTATTAATATTAATACTGTTATTGTATTTGTTTTCAAATAAAGTAATTTCTGTTCAAATTGAATGTAAAGTGCATTTTAGTCCGAAGGCCCAGTAAAGTGAACGGTCCAACCTGTAAATCTAAGCGCGTTTGTAAATATCATTTGAAACCGCCCAGTTACCTCGTGGGAGACCTGAGACAAACGGTCCGCGGTTCACGTCAAGGTCACATGACTCGGCAAAACCTGTCACACTGAAACAAAGATAATTACAAAAGAAAATTGATAAGCGAAACAGTCAGTATTATTAGTTCCGATTTCTAAGTGGTAGTCTGTCCGATTTGTAGAATGACTGGCCTGAAAGACAGCAAAGGGATACTGGTTAAGACAGGGAACGTTCTCAACTTGAACGACATACTCAAAAAACCGGGACAGCAGTCCAGCGACGAGGTAAAGGCACGGTTGAAACATTGAACAAAAAACGGCATGTCATCCTTCTGCATTTACAGCTGTTGGAATGTCTGAAAATCACTCTGGCCGACTCTAACAGATCTTCGAATGAAGATCTTTGCGTTATCACAGGAAAAGAGCCGGTCTACACCGAAGACATCGACCCTAAAGAACTGGTCATCACAGTCAAAGTATTTCTGAACTCGGGCTCAGTGGAAACCCTAAAAAGTGCGCTTGATAATTGTAAGTATCGTCCATTTTTTACGTCTTAAATGGTAGTAATCCATTTATATTAAAATTGTACTGTTTGTTTTGAAAAAATCAACTGTAAAGATATAAATTGGAAAACAGCTTCTCTAGAACGTTGATGTTTGAGCCTTAAAGTGGTTCCGGACTTGTCAAGATGCTTGCCTTGGCATTCGCGTGCCTACGTATACACATGTTTGTACAACCGTCGGTTCGTACGGAAACAGCGAATATTCGCCAAGTACTGCGCGAGTTCTCATGTTGCTTCCAGTCGTGACGGACTCACTGTTGTTACTGCAGTTACTGTTTTGTGTAATGGTACAGTTGCCCCAGTTTGCTTTCGATCCGTTTCCATGCATCGAAAAACTGATTTTTGTGGTCCTTCCAGAGCAAGCAAGTCCAAATTATTGTTTCAGCTTGATCAAGGTACTCCAAGGCTGTTATGCTGGGCCGATCCATTCTTAACTAACAGAAACAACGCTGTTTTTCTTTCATTAATTCATCCTTACTAGTTAGGAACAGTTTATTATTGGGGGGGGGGATAGCAGTAAATATAAGTATATACTTTCGATCAGTTTCCACGTATTGAAAACCTCATTTCGATTTTTGCAATTCGGAAGAGAAGAGTTCCAAATTTTTGGTTCAAATTGAGGAACTCCAAGAGTGTTACGTTGGTCCAGTAGAAATAAAGCTACATTTTTCTTTCATTAATCATCTGAAGGAAAACTTTATTATTGAAACATAAATAGCAGTAAATAATAACTGTTGATGGATGATTACAGTTGATTTACGTACAGCACAGTTGATTTCCGAATATGTAGTTGCTTTGAGTTCGGCTACTTCAAGAATATTCGTGCCCTTTGAAGTGGATAAGAAAACCGACAATTAGCTGAGCAAGGCAAGCACTGAATATTGTTGCTCGGCGAATAAATCCACTAATTAGGATTCGGTGAACCTTTGCTTGGTATTCGGCGAATCCCGCAGGTCTGCAGCCACCTTAAGAATTTTGTCAGAAGTACTGATAGCAAAATCATTCCATGCACTGCTGTCAGTTATTTCAGTTTGTATACTATTCAGTTTTCATAAATCATTTAATGGTAACAAATTTGGTTTTATGACCACACTAGAGAGCCCAGCTTAATAAGTACAACTTGAAAGAATTATTACACCAGAATACATAAAATTAAACTGTTCTGTACACCATATTCAGTCATTTCAGTGTCTAACAAAATGGTGGTTAGCCTTATATCAACACTGCTTAGAAATAAGGGTAATTCAAAAATCTGTAGGTTTTTTCATTATTTTATTATTTTAAATACACTTTTGGTTAATAACTTATTCCTCAAGATATCATCTATGATGTGATGCCACTTTTGTGCCAAACGTTCAATGGCATAATGTCACCTTGAAAAGTTTTGTTTATAAACTCAACAGGGTTGTACGAGGGGCTCTTGTGAGTCAAGAGCATGACTGGTAGATGGCCTGCTGAGAATCTGAGCCAGAGATGAGGGATCATTCTCACAGATTGAGGATTGACCTGCGGGGTAGACACGAGTACCTTATTTTTGGGCCAAAGCCTGTGCAGGCGCCCCTTGTGCAGAGAAAGGTTCTCAATGTGTCCCACTTAATTGAAGCATGGCATGCCTTGGGTCCATAGAGAGAGCATGTAGGCATGCCACTGAATTAAGAATGGTTTCTGGGACCCGTTCCATTTTTTCCACCTTATCTAGTCTTCCATGTGTTTCATGAGTTGAATTTATTAGTGTGAGTGTTGAGGAATGAAGGCTACTTTTTTTTTTTTAATTTAATTTTAATTAAATTAATTTTTTTGGCTTTGTCATTATGATAGCCTGCCAACTGAACAATTGAATAAATGTAGGGTGGACATGAGACAGTTGGAAAGGAGAACCGACACCCACGAGACACTCCACTTATTACTTGTTACCTTGGACTGAAATAAAGTAATTAAATTTTCAGTAATAATTGAACTTCTTAAATTTTCTTACCTTGTGGTATTTATCAACATTTTTGTGTTGTTTGGGTGTATTTGTTAATAATTTATCTTGCCCTTAATTGTCAGGAGTTAAAAATATCTATTTGATCCTAATGATAATTTATTAGGAAGCCTCATGATTACTAATCCAATAGAAAGTGCTTAATGGACATTTAGTACTTTGTCTTGCTGTAAGGTAACTGTCAATATTATTGATTTAGTTATTAAATAGTCTCTATATAAATTTAAGTTTTGTGCATTTGTTTAATGAACTTACTTTGAAGTAAGTTCATGTAATAATTTTTTTTTGTTTTCTAAAAAGTCTGAAAATAACTACACACTTTATGGTTTTGCCATTATTAATACCTTGTGGTTATTTAAGTTTTTGCTTTAGATTACTCACTGATTTTTAAAATGGACAAAAAGTTTAAAAATGATATTAATAAGCGACTTTTATTGTAGGTGTAGAGTACTTAAGTGCCCCAGTTCTTGGATCCCTAGTTTTAGCTTACCAACGTGAAAAATTTTCAATTCAAGAGCTTCACTCTCTCTGGACTGTATTGGAAGATTACACGAGACATGGGAAACTAGAAAGAATCGGTATTTCAGATTTGGACACAGATTCCTTCATTGAGCTGTACAATTGGTCAAGTGTACGAACTACTTTAAACTAAATTTAAAAAACTACAATTTCTTATGTGAGTTTTTTTTTTATATTAGATTAAGCCTAGCCTGGTTCAGCTTGGTCTCGCTGGGTGTTGTGTGGTTCCGCCAAAACTGCAGGACTTTGCGAAAGCCCATGATATTCAACTACTCACTCATGGTGATCCTGCAGGTAATGTAAAATTTAATATTATAACGTGTTTTTTTTTCTTTTCTTTTGTATTAAACTAAACATATTTCATTAGATATTCTACCTCAAGAACGATTACAGCAATTATTACCGGAAGTAACAAAACAAGAACAATGGTTTGTATGCCGATTCCAGGGACACATCAAATGCAGAGGCGTTCTTGCGACAAAGGGCTACATTGTTGGAATTAGGCTCGGATAGACATGTTTGGACCACAAAGTGACCTTTGAAAATGTTCAACCAATGTAATCTTAGTTACCAAAAATAATCAAGCTGTTTATACTTTGTAATATTTTATTATTGTTTTAATTTTTGCAGGCAGAAATTATTCTTTTATACTTAATTGGTTTTCTTTTTGTAGCTTTAGCTGTACACTTGAAAATACACAGTTATATTTTAATGTCTTCCAACTTTTAAATAGCATTCCAAAGAAACATTACTGTTTTGCCCTATATTTACGTAGTATCTCTTTCATTCATAGATGTATTATTTAAATATTTATATTTTATCTGATCTGGGAAAAATTGTTTATTAATCAAAAATTTATTATTAAAACAATTAATTTGCAGACAAGTACTTATTAAAACTAGAGACAATCAGGCTCTTGTTATAAAACCCTGATTAAAACCTACTTGGAGAGCTCAATAGACTGTACTACCAGGGCCTTTGAGCAGTCTCGCATTTCGAACTAGCTTTGTGGCAAAGTTCTTATCAAACTGGGACATCCACTTTCAGGTGTGATCCTAAAATGCCAGCACAGCGTACATGCATCTATGAACTCGGATACAACAGCGAAGCTTTTGGAAGATTACACTGAGAATGCTGGGCTCGCTCACTACTCAAGCTGGGCAACCACTCCGCCCTTACTCATCTGGCCCTGTAGCCAACTTAGCTTACCCCACCAAAGCTTTACCAAATAATGCTTTTGAAACTTATCTCGAGGTATGCTGGTTTTTGCCTCATTTTCTCAGACATCTCTTAACACGGTTAAGGGTGTACACATGTTATATAATGAAAGTGAAGTCCTCTGTTCCAATTTTTGGAAGAATTGGCTGTTTTCTTGTATATACTAGACAAATTACAAATACTGTATAGTATACTACTATATATTTTTTCCAGTTCACATTTTTTTTTTTTTTTTTTTTTTTTTTTAAATTAGGAAAGTACCTACAATACAAATTCATTGTATTTAATACTGTATCATTGCAAATTTAGAATGAATTCTTTCAGTGTTAGGCAAGAAATTGGTTTCAATTAGAAATTAATTTTTTGAAGTTGTGAAGAGCGGTCAAGAATGAGGTAGTTTAGAAAACACCTTTTATTTTTTTTGCTGACATTTCGACATTTATATGTGTCATCTTCAGGGTATAAAGTGTGGTAGTGTCATATTGGTTTGGTGTGTCAACACATCACAAGAAAAGCACCACACTTTATACCCGAATAAAGGTCGAAACGTCACCAAAAAAAATAAAAGGTGTTTTTCTAAACTACTTCATTCTTGACCGCTACTCACGATTTCATCGAATTATGAAACAACTGCTCACTAAGAAATACTACATACACATTTAATTAGAAAATTGCAGCAGATTGCATTTAAGCATTGCATTTTATCTCTATCGTATGTCAAAAAATGTATGACCCTGTATATATTCTATTTTACCTTTGGCTTCCCTCTGCAATAGCTGAAACACAGTTAAATTGTGGTAATAAAATAATTCATGCGGCCCTGTAGTCTGCAGGGTGATGAATCTATAATCTTTACGGTCTGTCAGACACGTTTCAGCATTTCGCCATCTCAGCGTGTCTGTTGAATAAAATAATTTAAATGTTTTTAGCATTCTTGACTTTAATGCTTAGGGTAACTGGAATAAATTGAATACAAAGTGGGAAGTTAATTATTTCTTAATCCAACGCATAGTTGAATACTGTTAATCGATAGGCACGTTATGCAATGATCATTTATTGTATTAAGTCGATACAATAATAATAACAGTAACGTAATAAAATTATTAAATTGTTTTTTCTTGATGCAAATTTAATGTACGGCTGTGTCGTCATCGAGTCTGCTTGGATGTCGATGACGACTGAAAACAGTTCGGCTCAGTCCCAACAGGAAAGTATGCTCTTCTGCAAAGTCTGTTATACTGGAATCATAAAGGCGGGTTTTTAGTTTTTAACTTGTTTTTTCTTTTTACTAATTTAAAAGGCGAAGAAAGCTTTAATGCGTTATGGTGTTATCACCGTAATGAGGTAACCCTTTGTTTGTAATGTTTGGTTACTTTTTAAGATGTTTGTAGAAAACGTCCAGGAGGAGTTTTACAATATTATAAAAGGAAAACACGTTTTACTGTTTGTCAACTACGATGTCGATGCTATTTGCACCTGTAAAATGCTCCAGTCGCTCTTCCGCTCTGATTCGACGCTTTACACGTCACTGACCGTCGAAGGTGTACAGGACTTGATCGAAGGATACTGCAAGCATAGCGAACAGGTCAAATTCGTTCTGCTTATCAACTGCGGCGGTACGATCGACATAGTTGAAACGCTGCAGCCGGAGGAGGACGTCGTCTTCTTCGTCCTGGACAGTCATAAGCCGACTGACGTCTGCAACGTCTACAGCAGGTCGCAGGTGAGGATCGTCGGAAACGTGGACGAGAGCGAGAAGATCCCGAGGTTCGAGGACATATTCATAGACTCCGAAACCGAGGATGAAGACGAGGAGGAGGATTTTGACGAAGAGGCCAGAGCGAAGCGGAAACAGCGAAAGCTCTGGGAAGAAAACCGCAACAAGACTCTTTTCGAATACACCCAGTTTTCATTCTATGGTCGAGCGAGTGCCCTAGTCATGTTCGAAATAGTTTGGCGTTTAGGTAAGGATAACATTGAAAGCCTATGGTGGGCTTTGGTCGGTTTTACGTATCAAACTGTGTTAGGATTAGTGACGGAAAGAAACTACTCGAATGAACTTCCAGTCCTTCAGCTCCATCTCACGAGACTGATGCCAACGTCAAACAATTCGAGTCGAATGGAAGGGTATCGGATAACGTGTCAGAAAGATCTCAAATTAGTATTATACCGACACTGGACTGTGCAGTCTAGTTTAAGGCATTCAATATCCACCGCTGTAAAACTGAAACTTTGGAGTCAAAAGGGTGAAAAAAGACTTTATCAACTTTTAGCGGAAATGGGCCTCCCAATAAGCGATTCAAAGCAAAATTTTACTTCGATGGATTCTGAATTGAAAACGGGCTTTTTAAGTATGATTGAATCAATAGTAAACAATTACGACTTAGATAGTCTCATATATCATTCATTTATATTAACAATCGGTTTTTCAAACAGTTATCAAGCTGCTGATTACGTCTATGGCATGCTTGCACTACTCGATTCAACCCTTTCAGAAAAAACTTCCAAAGAGTGCTTCCTCCTGACTCTAGACAGTTTATCCAGGTACAAGCATAACATCATCGACAAAGGGATAAACAGCTCCAAGAAACTTTTAACATCGGTCATGCGCCAAGTTCACACTCTGTTAGATATGAAACAGATATTTTCTGCAGGCCCTTTTCTTTACTTCATCCTCGAAGAGGGTTCTGTGGATTCAAAAATTTTTTCATGCCCTTCTAGCCTTGTGATACTGGCAAGGTACGCGCTCATGGCGTTCAATTCGATCTCGAGGAACAGGAGGACTGCGATGCTCCCACTCATAGCGTCTGCGCCTTCGACCAACGACAACTGTATCATACTCGGAATTCCCCCCTCTACTGAAGTCATACCGAGGAACTTCTTCGGCAAAGCTTTTGACCAAGCTGTTGAAACTATCGGCATAAATCCTGTTATTAACTACTTCGACTCTTCTGTTATAAAAATCTGTAAAGAAGACAGGCCGAAATTTTTTGATTCACTTGTCACCATTTTGAGTTAGCGATACATTTTCAATAAATTATATTTTAATATATTTGAAAACATCACAGTTTTAATAGTTCAAATTTGTCATTTCCTGTGTAAAAAACATGAAATATTAGGTTTTAATTGTACATACAATAATTTATTTAAACTACAATATAGGAATTTTTATTTTATACTTTTGATACCTGCAAAGAATAAGACTGTATATATCAAAACTAATAATTGTATATATGAACTTCTTAAAATGTAATTTGTAGTAGTTTCATTTCTCTTAGAGCAATTGATCATTACATAACACTCAGCTGGGTGCATTATTGTTATTTTTGTTTCTTCTATACTCATTTGGCCTACTGACCCAGTGATTATTATAAAAATACATAAGGCCAAATAGATTTGTAAAGCTCTCACTGCCCACTGGCATTCAAGCTCAAAGAGTAGAAATAAATTTGTTTTGTTTTTGTAACTTTTTCATATTTATCGTCCTATGTAATCCTCCTTGTCTCACCAGAATTGCCAAATCTAAAACGTTTTGCACTTGGTATAATTTTATAGTTCACTTATTACGTTTTAATCAGAATTATTGAACCAGAGCGATTATTCAGTGATTTATGATTTTATGTAAAGTATAACACGAAAAGAAAAAAAGACGGCAAAGCTGAAGGTTGTGCATTCAGTACCTCTCGTCACAAATTTTTTCGTCTCAGCCACAATTTACATAAAATTATACATCATTTTATATTTCACCCTTTTTTCCTTCTTTATTTTACAAAAAAATACTTTTCAATCAAGGCCTAATGAAATTTGTGCAGTACAAAGATAATTATTACACATGACATTGTTTTCCTTGGTGCAAATTCATTACATGCAATTTTATTCAAAATACCGATGAAATTGATTTCAATTAATTTTACTTTTTAGTTTTATTACTACAAAATTAGTATTTAATTTAAATTGATAAATTTTTAAAGAAAGTTGAGATAGTTTGAAACCTAATAGTGCAAACAGTTTTAATTTGGTAAGGGTGAATTTAACACAACACCAACAATGTTTATAATGCTAGAAGTAATATTCTTTAGCATAGCTACTCGTACTCGTCACTTCGTGAATTTGATACAAGCCAAGGGTTCTTCCCCGTATGAATATTAACTTTCATTCTCCTGAGGAATAATCTGATTTTTGTATATTAAAGTGTAAATCATCCCTTCTCTTTTGTTACAGCTGCTTATTGATTTAATACAGCCGAAATCTTCTCCGACGGGAAAATGCGTTTCAGTCCCGCCGTCTACAAATTCGCCCTGTAATATTGAAATTTATAACAGATTTTGTACAATATATATAGAGAGAAATACTTACTGTCGCTTCAACTTTGGTCCCGTCAACCCAAATATCCAATGTGTCTTTTTCTGTAATTATGATGATAATTGAACATAATGAAATTATTTTTATGAAAGTTTTATTTCTTTCTATATAGAAAATCAGGGATAAGGCAAATTTGGAAGAAAGGAAAACATCAGTTCATTCGTCAAACTTTCAAGGAATATCCTATTTAAAAGTCCATTGAAACTATTTCTAATAATTTAATAACATTATATATATTACTATATGTATCACCTATCTTAAATTTGCCCTATCCATGATTTTTTTATATACAATTAAAATATCATCAAGAAAAAGTATGATCTGCATTTTTAAAATATTTTCTACCTAAGACAATTCTATGATCTCCTATTGTCCAGGTGCAAGCCATCGTCGACCATTTTTTAGTGAATTCCTCAAGAGGTTTGCCATCGACAACAAGCGAGTAGCAATATGAAAATCCTGAAATTGGCTCAATTTTCACGACACACGGTACCGCGCCAATTGAAAATTCTTGTTCGCCCACCAATTTGAACATCCAATCTTCTCTGTAGACCTCCTGTAAAGTTCAAAATCAAGGATTTTTGCCTCCGCCTAAAAGTAAATAATGTTACCTTGTCGTTTACTCTGACAACCCTTTTTCCACTAGCAGTACCATGTTCAAATTCAACTTTATGCACACCGTCGCTCAGCGGAACATGCCACACACCTACTATATCACTATTGTTTGACATTTTTAACGATCATAACTTAAATTATGAAAGAATTGTATAAAATTCTATAAATATAGACGGGATATTATGTGCTTGGCTTATCTAGGTCTTTTTTAATCAACATGCCACCGAGGGTGGGATGTGTTTGTACGCAGTTGCTTAGTAACCGGTTGTGAATATTTGATCAACCCATTGAATTTTCATATTTGTTTATTCAACACAATCATTGTTATTTATTTAAGAAATATCTTTGCATATCTATACTATTTTGAATCGTGTAAACAAATGAATCAATTTTACAATAAATATTTTTTTTAATATGTGAGGTAACCGTAGAAAATAGAAAGGTCATAAGAATTAATTTTAAACAATATCATCATAAATGTATCAATATTCACAAACAAAACACAATACAGTTTATCTACTAAATGTGTCTGTTTTATATACAAGAAAGTCTATCGGCAAATATATTTCTCAAAGAAATTAGCCTTGAAGTTTTTAACAATCCAAATCCTCTATAAAAAAAAAGTTATTAAAAAATAGATTTAGATACAAAATTAGATCCTTTTCTACTTCATAAAATTTAATATTTAACCTTGAATCCTGCGATAGATAAATTTCCACATTTTTGTTTAAATGCAGGCCAGATTATAGGTCAATAAACCATTTAAAGTATGACCTCCCCAGAATTTCCACTTTTGCTTATGTATTAATAATATAATTAACAAAAGACACTAAATGGTGTGCGAGATTGGATGTTTATAAGAATTTGTGTATCTGTTTTTTCTTATAATTCAATATACCTTGTTACTTGTTTATTCAGCCAAACTAATCTCAACGATCTTGCTTACAAACATATTAGGCACAAAACATTTTTGTACGATTGACAAAATGAAGATATACTATTGCTGAAGATGTTTTGCCACCTTTATGTAATAAATATTCATAAAGAGGATAATCTTAGTCTACCCATCTACTGAGACTTAAAGTACGGAACAATATTTTTTCAATTCAGACAGTCGAAGACAAAATCTTTGATAAAAGTAATCTTATTAAATTTAGACATAAGGAATAAAGTGAAAAATAAGAAAGTTGAATTAGGGAGAAAAGGGAACATTGGAATGGATTTACTCAATTTGAGTTTTCCAATTGAAATGGATTTTTTAAATAGAACATCTCAAGGGAACAACTTTCCCCAACAAAATAGGAGATAAAAAAGAAATTTCCAAACAATTTAAAAAACAACAATAGCTTGTGATTTTAAGGGATTAATATTAATCAAATTATTATTAGTCAAAATAGAAATTGAAATTGAAAATCATCCACAAAAAGATGGTATTTTTATATGCATTTTAAAAATTGTCTGTTATTTAATTATTTATTTATTTTTATTTTATTTAAGTGTGAATATGGTTTGTAAAGTAGTGAATTTAATTAGCAAAAGGATGATTTTAATTTCTACAAGGGTGAATTTCATTTGTTCAAATTTGTTAAAGAGTGAATTTAAGTTGCAAAAGGAAGCATTTGATCAGTAAAAATTGATTTGATTAGTAAAAATATAAATTTAAATTGCAAAAAGGTGACTGGTTTATAAAAGAGTGAATTTAATTAACAAAAATATAAATTTAATTTGCACAAGGGTAATTTTAATTTGTAACAGAGTGAATTTGAGTTGGTAAAGGGTGAATTTGATTTTAACAAAATGAATTTGACTTGCAAAAGGGTGAATTTGATTAGTAAATGAGTGAAGTTAATTAGCAAAATTGTAAATTTAATTTGCAGAAGGTGATTTTAATTTGAAACAGAGTGAATTTAAGTTGGTAAAGGATGGATTTGATTAGTAACAATATGAATTTAATTTGCGTGAGGGTGAATTTTATTAGTAAATAAATGAATTTGGTTTGTAAAAGGATAAATTTAATTTGTAAATGGGTGAATTTGATCAATAAAATAATGAATTTGATTAGTAAAGGATTGAATTTGATTAGTAAAAGATTGAATTTGATTTGCGAAAAGGTGAATTTAGTTAGTAAAAGTTTGAATTTGATTTGGAAAAGATTTTTAATAAAGTGAATTTAAGTTGCAAAATAGTGAATTTGATTAATAAAAGAATGAATTCAGTTTGCAAAAGGTGCATTTGATTGGTAACAAAGTGAATTTATGTTGCAAAAGGGTGAATTTGATCAGTAAAAGAGTTAATTTAATTTGCAAAAGTGTGAATTTGAGTAGTAACAAAATTAATTTAATTTCCAAAAGGGTGAATTTAATTAGCAAAGTAGTGAATTTGATTTGTAAAAAATGAATTTAATTATGAAAAAGGTGAATTTGATTTGTAAAAATGAATTTAATTTGCAAATGGGTGAATTTGATTGTAAATTAGTTAATTTAATTTGAAAAACTTGTAAGGGAAAAATTATACCGCCCAAGTTAGAAACCGTGGAGCCCGTGAGGCGGCCGTCATGTGCTGCGATCGAACCCAGAATTCTCCAATTAACTTATCTTACCTGACAATATGGTCGCCGTGCCCGACACTGTTATCAAAACTGTTTAGGTCCGACGTTTCAGTTCGGTCAATTTCCATTTTCTTACCCGTTAACGTTTAGATATCTCGTAAAATGTTACTCGAGGGAAGTCGGTAAATCTTTCCTCCCGTAGACGTGAATCGGCGACTGTGCCTCTTATACAAACGAGCCCGTTTCCGTCTAGATTTCAAGGGTCGAACTTTACAGGTTATGGGGAACTTTGTGCCTCTTTTGTACAGTAACATGACTAATATACGGATTGTATTCGATAATCGGTTCTTCACTTAAGTTGAGGGATTTCAGTTCCCATTTTTAACGATTAGTGGCCAGTGGAGTTTTTATTTTTCGACCGAAGACACCCAGATTGGAAAATCCTTCGGGAATGGATCAAGGATTTTATCCTACTTGTTCCTCCTTCAAATACGAGGTAAGAACTTTTTATATTCGCCTTTTCATTTTTTCATTTACTGGGAAAAAAGTACAAAAATTGTTTTTGAGATGTGATAAAAGATGAAAGTTATCCGACCGGAGAGATAACTCGGTTATAATCTACAATATCCCAGAACTGTTCCATTTAATCGTTTTCCTTTTATAATCACAATAATACTCACTTATAATCGGCCAATTTAAAGAAATCATTTCAAATTTGGATTATAAATCAAAATTTAAACAGTTTTTACTCATATTTCATGTTTGTTTCACAATAAGCATTAATTCCAATGATATCTCTTTAAACGAGAAATTATGAAATAATTAAAACAAATAACAGTATAAAAAAACTATAGCATAAAAGAATAAGTCCTATACGCATGAAATTGGTATCTAAGTTCAGTAAATTCTTTTCTATTTTAGAAATCAAGCACAAAGAAAACAGGCCGAGATTGTTTAGCTTTCACAACAAAATTAGAGGAGTGTATAATCCAAAAGCAAAAATACATGGAAATTAAGGCAAAAACACAAAACCACAACATTCATGGATTGGTTGCTTGTGAGGTAGATCATGTTGAGGGTTTGGCTAGATGGTCATAGTAGCAACCATTTAAACTCGGTTATAAATTTTTTTTATAAAGTAAACAATCTTACAAGAAAACATTTAAGGTTTTTTCTTATTGGTAAAGACATGTAAAAATCACATAACTTCATAAAGCTTTTTTTTTTCAATTAGGGTCTTGTTAATTTTTAACTTGTTCCTCGATTAGTTATGACTAATTGGCTCGGATCGATTGTTCAAAGTCAAAGTTTTCCATATATTAAGTATATTGTAATGTTTTATGACATTTCACATTAAAAAGTTAAGGGTGTTTAACCTGACAGCACGGTTCATAAATGTGCGTGTGCTTGTTCTTTCATGGTCAGATGTGAACGTAAAAAATTACCATTTTATCGAGTAATAACAGGCCGAATATTGTTAATTTTTAATTGTTTTAACTTAAATTTTTAACAATCCAGTGATTTCAATCAAAAATTTCTTTTTATAATTATATCTCTTTGCTTTAAGCATACAACAATGGTACATTCATATACACATTATATAATAAATAAGTACACATCATATAATTAATAAATTGGGGGCGTCGGTAGCCGAGTGGTTAAGGCGTCAGACTCTCGGCTAGTAGATCCCGCGGTCGTGGGTTCGATCCCCACTGTCGCCTCTGGACTTTTTGTGACGCCTAAGGGGACCGGTAGCCGCAATTGAAAGAAATTGACACGGCACTCATCAATGGAAGGGGCGGGATCGGATCTCAGCGACCCTGAATTTGGTCCCAACCCCCTTCAAAAATGAGTTTCTTCGATGGAAGAACACCGGTACAACGAGGGCTCAAGTTCACATTAGTGTTGCGAGCCCTCCCCCAAAATATGGAGCCAGGGATAAAGTACAATAAGCTGTAGAGCTCAGCTGCAGTGCTCAGGAGGGAACTCCTCCAGTCTCCAGTCCCTTGGTATCCATTGTAAAAAAAAAATTTAATTTAAATTAATTTAATTTTAAATTTTTTTTATATGATTGTTTCTGGGTGAGTCAAATCAGCGAGAAGAGACGGATCAGAAAAAATTTTTTTTGGTTACTCCATACAGTAAGACCGTTCAACATGTCCACTTCTTCATTTCCATATCTACTGTGGTACGGTATGGTGGAAAAGAATACTAGGAAGCGGGGTTTGTATTCCCCAGGCACTGCAGCCCTGGCTTATTGTACCTTCCTAGTTCCTTAGTTCAGTCAATAGACTCAATCCTTGTTCTTAGAAGTATCAGGTCATTGACTGTTGCTGCTGCAATTTGATTCCCTAATTTTTTTTCCGTACGTTAGGTTAAATCTCCATTGAGCTGTTGCTTCGCATTCGAAGATGATATTAGTGGTTGTTTCCTCTTCCTTATTACATAATCTGCAAATGGGATCATCGCTGTACATACCCATGTTATGTAGATGTTTTCTCAGATACCAGTGACCGATTAGTAGTCCTACTACTCCTCTGAGTTTGGCCCTCTCCAATTGCAGCAGTGTTTTTGCCAGTCTCGGTGAGGGTTGTTTCATCATAAGTTTACTATGTCTAGCACCGTTAGAGTTTATCCACTTCATCTTTTGTTTTGCTTGGATCCATTCTGCGATGGAGGGTTTTATATTTGTTCTTGGTATCCCAAGAATATGTTCGGGGCCTATGTATGGTCTTGCAGATTCTCCTCTGGTCAGTCTGTCTGCTTTCTCGTTACCCAAAATTCCCCTGTGCCCTGGCATATCTACTGTGACACCTCTATCTGAAGGTACATTGTTCCATGTCAACCTGGACGCGATAAAACAGCGAGGACAGACGGATCAGAAATGACTTTTTTGGGGATCAAATTACTCCTTACAGTCCACCTCTTTAACATTTCCTTCTCTACTAAAAAGAGAGTTTTAACTAATCTGGCATCTCTATCTGAAGTTAGATTGTTCCATATCATCCTGAGTGAGTCAAAACAGCAAGAACCGGACAGATAGGCTTTTTTTGATGGGGGGATCGAATTACTCCTTATAATTCATGTTATCGAAATGTCTCAGTTCAGTACAAAAAAGATTTTTAAAAAATCTGATATTCTTTTCTGTAGTTTGATTGTACCATATCCTGGGCAAGTCAAAACAGCGAGAACCCGGCGGACCATGTTTGCTTTTTTTCGGGATCGAATTATTCCTTACGGTTCACGTTCTTGAAATGTCTCAATTCAGTACAAAACGAGAATTTTAACAAATCTGATATCCTTATAGCAGTTTGTTTTACCATATCCTGGGCTCGTCTAAGCAGCGCGAAAAGACGAATGCATTAGTAGGTAATTACAATTTTTGAAGTTTTAATTAAAAATAATCTAAGCTAATCTGCAAGACTTAACAGAAAAATTTGCCAAATCGCAAGAAAGGTTTTCGATCAGCACAAAAATATTTGATTTTGTAGGTCGTCTCGAAACTTAAGTCTTACAACCATAGAAATTTAAAAGAATTATCAACTTACGAAGGGAAGATAGGTTTAAAGTCTCTTTCAAAGGTTAAGACGTAAGGATTATTCGGTAATTTGTCAACTTCGAAGAATATTTTTGTCTCGTGTAGACTGTTGATAAAAGCTAATTACCATCTTTCAATTAATTAATTTTTATGTAAGGTATTGGTTGAAATAGAAAAGCTAGTGTCATAAGGGGGATTCGAACCCACGACCTTCGGCTAAATACGCTTCTGATCTACCACTTGAGCTATCGTGAAGGCGATCCATTCGGACACCAACTTCCCTTCTCAACCCACCTTTCGAATTTTTCATTTTATTTCAACCAATACCTTACATAAAGATTAATTAATTAATTGAAAGAAGTTATTTGGCCAATCGGACCTCGAAGTATAATGTAGCTAATTACGATGTTTTTGAATTTTAATTAAAAATAATCTACGCTATACTGCAAGAAATTTAAATATTCACCATATCACAGGAAAGTTTTTCAATCCAACACCACATCGACCTTCTCGTAACAGATTTTTTTTTTGTTATAAAACATAATTAAAACGTTCACATTCTGCTTTATGTTTTACCATCGAACTATTTTCCCAATAAACAATTTTGACTCGTAAAACTTATCATAAAAGAAGGAAATAATCTCTGTGAAAATTGTTTATTCAGGTTTTACGTGTTTGAATATGTTGTGCTTTAGTTTCATAACGCTAGATGAGTGTTATGCAGCGGTTGTGTACCTTCCTATTGCCATAATGGCTTATGAATGCTAAAAATGACTCAGGATTTCTCCTCTTGTTCTCTTGGTCTATTTATACTTGTTCTAACTGGCGTTTTTTCTTCATAAATGTGCATAATGAAATTCTATATGCTTTAACGCGGCCAATCTTCTGACCGACACTTTCTAAAAAACTGCCTATTTGTTTATAATTCTGCTGTTAGGGGGATTGGGGTTGGCCTACTTTATATGGCAAAACCTGAATTATGCTTAGTCTTCTGTAGCCTGCTGGTCGCTATGTAGCGGATTTAACACACCGTGACGGCGGTGCAATGCACAATTTCTTCTATTATCGACATTTCAATTAGATGTGAGGCGTAATAGATTTTCTTCTTTATTCATTCCTCGGCTGTGAAAATCGAATGATTCACTCACATTCACCAGGACACTAACTCTCACAATCACTAAGTCTTTAAATCACAACTGATTCACTCACTTCAAGAACTCGATCACTCACTAACTTACTCGCGCACACATCAATCCCTCAACTACTCATCCCCTCACTTCGATAGTCACGCATTCAATCACTCACTCGATAACTATCTCACTCACTTCGTCAGTAACACCTCGATAACTACTTCATCCACTTCGACTTCACGCATTCAGTCACCCACTCGATAACTATCTAACTCATTCACTCACTTAATCACTATCTCACTTATTCACTCATTTACTCAATCACTATCTCACTAATTCACTCACTTACTCAATAACTATCTCACTCATTCACTCACTTACTCAATAACTTTCTCACTCATTCACTCAATCATTATATTATTCCTCGATAACTATCTCACTCATCCACTCACTTACTTAATCACTACCTTATTCCTCGATAATTATTTCACTCATTCACTCACTTACTCAATCACTATCTCACTCATTCACTCACTTACTCAATCACTATATTATTCCTCGATAACTATCACTCATCCACTCACTTACTCAATCACTACCTTATTCCTCGATAATTATCTCACTCATTCACTCACTTACTTAATCACTATCTCACTCATTCACTCACTTACTCAATCACTATATTATTCCTCGATAACTATCTCTCTCATCCACTCACTTACTCAATCACTACCTTATTCCTCGATAATTATCTCACTCATCCACTCAATTACTCAATAACTATCTCACTTATTCACTCATTTACTCAATCACTATCTCACTCATTCA